CCACCCATCTCAGTGAGGCATATTTATAGGGAGACCTTTGAGCACTGAGTCCTTATTTTAGCAAGAAGAAAGGTTTCAGATGCCATCCTAAGAAATAAGGAAAAGCAATTAGCCGGGTGTGTTGGTACACACCTGTAATCCCAGCACTCAGGAAGCTGAGGCAGGAAGATCGCTGCAAGTACAAGGCCAGCCTGAACTACATAGCAAGACCCTGTCTAAAAGAAACAAAACCAAAACCAAACAAAAAAGAAAAATTAATCGACTGTCCCCCCAAAAAACACAAAGATAAAACAAATCAGAAATCAGTAAAACAGGAAAATGAAAAACAGAAAGGAGGCCAAAGCTGATTCTTTCAGAAGATCAATAAAAATAACTAAAAAAAATGACAAATGGCTGCACCCGTGGGCACTCCTCAGGGACACTTTTAAATGGTTTGATGCCAGAAAGTCCGGGCAGCTAGACAGAAGGGACACATTCCTTCAAAGACACAAACCTCCCAATCCCACTTAAAAGGAAGAGCGTGTGGCTGGGAGGAAAACAGATTACCCAAATACTGCACATCTAAGCATTAAAATCACACTCACAGCCTAAGATCCCCCACTAGCACATATGCTGGCCTCAGGGTGTCGTGGGTGAATTCCACAAGACAGGCAAGGAAAAGACCACACTAATTCTACACGAACAACCAGAAAATGGAAGAGGAGGAGCTGCTTTTCAACGTCACTGACCCCAAAACCACAGAAGACACCATAGGAAATGCAGGCTACAGGCCAGCCGCTATGAGAACACAGACGCAGGCTTCTTCAAGTAATTCCCGTAAACAGCGAAACAATCCTCAAAGGCAGCTGCAGTCTTCGCCCACTGTAGCCCACAGCTACAGCAAAATGCCACAACTGGGTGACATTTAAAGAAAAGAAACCAATTTCTCCCAGATCCAGAGGCTGCAAGTCCAGATTGAGGCTCAGCCCCGGCGAGGCCTCCAGCTTCGTCCTGGCAGGAAGTGGTGTCTCCTGTCCAGGCCTCCCCCGCGAAAGGCAAACTCCCCGGTACAGCCTCACCTTCCCCGGGGCAGGGTCCTCACGGCCCCACGCTCTCCCTAGGCATCGTCTCCCAACACCGGAGTGCTGGGATGATGTTCCCAACATCTGAATTTCCAGGGACATGTTCAGACCTTGGAAGTTTCCAGCAATATACCAACAAATGAGCTCTGGCCCTGCAGAGGTAAACTCCAGGCAGACTGCATCAACCACGGAAGGTCTGTGGGATTCACCCTTAGCAACCTGAGGAAGGAACGCCAGCTATTCATCCCAAATGACACAGAAAGCAAGCATCGATAGAATGAAGCTGGTATCTAGTTTTTACCTAAATGCTTGGCAAACTAGGAAGAGAAGGAAGCAGACTTCCGCTGACAGACAGCATCTACTGGAGACGTGCAGTTCAGACTCAGCTTGATGCCGCAGACTGGATGTTTTCCCAGGAAGGTTAGGAATAAGGCAGGGAGGTCCACGTGTCCCTCCGCTCAGGGCTGCCCCGCGGGTCCCAGCCAGTAGCTGAGGCATGAAGAGGAAACGGGAAACCCCCAGACTGGACCAAGTGTACCATGTGTAGCTGTCTTTGTCCACAGAGGACATGACTGTCCTGTAGAAAGTAAGTAACATCACACACACCCTGGGCTCTTTAAAAGAGAAATCTGCACCTACAACAGTCCCCTCCGCAGAAGTCTCGGCTAGCGCAAGCCCGAGGTGAGGACTCCAGAAGTTCAGGGTTGTCGGTCTATAATCCATTTCTGTCCAGGGTGAACCGGTCTCAAGAATGAGGTTCCCATGGAGGAATAAATAAGCAAAAGAAAAAAGCAAAACAAGAGAGGTAAAATTCTGGGATCAGGGGGCTTGCAGCCCCTTGGACTGCAGCCCCGATTGCCATTTTCAATAGCCTTTTATTGAGAAAGAACAAAGGACACAGCTATTACAAATGGGAGGCTATCAAGTTTAGCAAGGACAATACAACTCAGTTACCACAGAAATAAGACTTGACTCAGGTAGCCCTCATGTTATCATTCCTCCGGGCATACCTCAGCACACCACCTAGTGTTGCCCCACAGCTTTCCACAGGGACACAGGTTCTGCAGTCATTTCCTTTCCACCAGTGATTTTGCTAGACTTCCTCCAGAACCAATCACATGGCTCGGTCAAGCCTGAGGTAATACATTGAAAGAGTAACCATAGAGTGTCCTTCTCCACACGTGGTTACTGCACAAATGGCAGCTGTGTTTCCACTGGCAGCGAAAAATCAGGAAATGAAATTGGAGACACAATACAATTTACAAAGTAATCAAAAACGCAAAGCACGGAAAGCTCTCAAACGCCACCGAGACACCGCCACAGGTCAGGAAGGAGACAGCTGTCCCCAGACCGATGCACAGGGCAACTGACTCAGCGGGAGCCTAGTGACACCTCTCAGCTGCACTGCTGCCACAGCCGATGGGCACTGCCAATGCTGTGAGGAGCCAGGAGCACTGTGAAAAATAATCGCAAAGACTGACACTCCTGACGTCAAGACTATCACAGAGCACCGTGGCAGGGGAGAGGGGCTGGCAGCCGAGGACAAACACAAAGAGCGAAGCGGGAGGGCAGCCAGAACAGTACCCATGACCTCACAGTCAACTGAGGGAAGCAGTTTGTGGAGAGGGCAGCTTCTCGACAAGCCGCGCCAGGTCAGCTGAAGAGCCCGAAGCCAGATGCCACACTCTCCCGGTGCCTGGTCCCACAGTGGCCACAGCCCCACGTGCCAAACCATGCGGGCGCCTCTGTGGGATCCTGGGTTAGGAAAGAACCCAGAGACACTGAGAAAGAGAAGGGAACTTGAGCCACAAAATGAAAAGCAGCTCGTTAGGGTTCATCCCGGCAGTGAACTTGTCTTTGAAAGATGCTGTTGGGAGAACGCAAACACCGGGAGAAATCTTCAAGTCGCTCCTCCAAGGGACACAGGGTCCAACAACCTCAGTCAACACAGACAAACAACTTTCCGCAAACTGTGCTCACCGCCATTTGTCACCAGAGCACCAACAGCAACCCCGTCCATTTCTGCAGAAGGTGCACAGCCGGCCGGGCTCACCTGGCCGGGCACAACGACCAACGCACAACACACTGAGGTACCAGTGTGACGAGGGCGTGGCACCCTGGCTCTCAGGTTGTGCAGCAGGAACAGGAGACAGGAAACAGCCTGTTTCTTTAACAGTTAAATATTCCCCTAGCACTTGGCCAGCCTGGGGATTTACCTGCGAGAAATGAAAGCGCTTTATCCACACAAAGGCTCAGCCGAGGATGCTCACAGCAGCTTCGCTTTTAACACCCAACAGCTGGAAAGGACAGCTTTCAGTCCTCGGTGAAGGGATAACAGGGGGCCGTCCAGCCACGCCCGGGAGCAGGCTCACCCCAAAGGAACAGTCGCCACACATATGTACACGGCCGGTCTCAGAGCACCTAACCTAGGTGGAAGAAGTCGGACCAGCGAGAGCCCACACTGCACAGCTGCACCTGGAGAAAACGCACACCAAGCCCGGTCAGGAAGGCTAGGGACCCTGAGAGGGACGGAGGATGACAGCGTCCGCAGACAGGTCCTGCGGTCTCCTGAAAGCACTGGCCCCTGAGGGTGTGGCTGTTGCCCCAGGACCCTGTCTGGAGCCCCACCCAGTACTGAGCACACCCCAGGTGCCAAGGCCCAGGACTGTCTTCCCAGGGCAGCCCTGTGGGCACAGGCCTTACTCCAGAGACCGCTGGGGTGGACCAGGACCAGGAGGGCCACGCAGTAGTGGCCTGGACCTGCTCCCATCCCTCTGCCAGGCCAGTGTCCAGACCCTGGAGCTCCTGCCAGCCTCAGACCCCAGGCCTCAGCTCTGCGCGGGGCTGAGGAAGAGGCCCGGCTGAGACCGTGCTCCATCCGCCGGTCAGGAGGCCTCGCCCGCTCAGTGGGGACGCTGTGGGCGCCTGCATCCATGTGGCACCTCCTCCCTGCCGCAGGAGCTCAGGGTCTTCAGGACTGAGACTCGGTGACACCGCAGGCCCAGGCTGCGAGCCAGCTGTCCGGGGCTGGTGACCAGCAAGCAGCTGGCCCCGGGCTCCTCCCCGCCCTCACCATGGCTTACCCACTCCTAAAATGACTCACTAAAGCAACTCAGGACTGAGGCCGGAAGCAACTTTCAAAATACCTTTATTTGCCTCACTGGGTGGCCCCTCCGCACAGCCCCACTAGGGGCCATTGCTGCGCAGTGCGGGGCCAGTTCTGGGCACTCCACGTCCTCCTGCACACATCAGTCCTCCTCCTCCTCCTGCACTTCCTCCTCCCCTACATTAGAAACAAAAATTTGTGTGTCGCAGCTGGAACGCAGAGCGGTCTGGGAGGCGGAACACATCTGCACGCGGCCACACGTCTACACTCAGAGCCGGGTGGCGGCTGGCGAAAGCCTCTGTCCGCGTCCCTTCTCTCCTGGCCGCAAAGGGACGAAGTGGGCGTGTGTCCAGGGCACCAGCCATCACCATACGGGTGTGGCACTGGGTGGGATGGTGGGGCCTCACCACTGTCCACACCCACACCCTCAAGGGCTTGAGTGCGACTGAATCCACGGGGCTGATGGCAGCGACACGGGTGCCTGCCGCACACACGCTGGACAGAAGAGCCAGAAGCCACCGGCAAGGGCCGGGAGCCGTCGTCCCTCCTTCAGCCGCCATGCCCAGCAGCCACCTGCAGCGCTGCCGGACAGTCACCCGTGCCACATGCTGCCCGCGGTCCCCACGGCACTGACCCCAGCACATGAGCAAGCGACAAAGAACCGCGCCCAAGGCAGCCGCCCTGACAAACCCCTCCGAAGTCCTGTGGATAGAATTCCGCCCAAACTGAACCGCAGCTGGAGAGGGCGACAGAGCCAGCCGGCTGCCCAGCGTCTTCCTGGAAGATCCAGAGGCCAGAATAGGCTGCCCAGCCCATGACAGCCCGGGGCCTACCTTCCTCCGCGCCCTCGTCGCTCTTCTTGGAGACAGAGCCACCGGTTGGTGCCAGGGATTCTTCGACGGGCTCACTGCTGGACTCAGGGGGCAGCGTCTCCTCAACAGCCTCCTTCTGCTTCCTCCTCTCTTGGACTATCCTGCGGGGAGAGGGTCTCCGTCACAGTCGGAAGTAGGAGACAGGTGCTCTGGGGCCAGCGTCCTCCCGACTCCCCCTGCCCGTTTCGCATTAGGTTCTGGGGGAGATCACACTGCACATCACAGCGGGTCAGGCTGCGAGGGAGGGTGCTGCCCACTGCTGCGAGACGCCACCTAAGTTGCAAAAGGGGCCCAGCGTGGCAGGTGCTTGGGCCAGGTGAGGGTGCCAATGCCGCCTGGGCCTGGGGACAGCGACCAGCCGCAGCGCCTGAGCCTGTGGTCCTCTGTGGCAGTGCAGGAGGGCTCATCCCCAAGACTGCATCCGTGGTAGGTAGGACGTGTGCCATGGCAGGACTTAGCCTGCACTCACAGCGTGGTAGGGGCCCGAGAGACACCAGAGGCTGAGCACACATGGCTACCCTTGCAGGTACCAGGGGACCCTTGCTCTCCCCAGTAAGGGACGGCCCCCACCTGCCACAGCGGCCAGGGGCTGAGCAAGGAAGGCCGAGCACCTGGAGCATAGATAGCCACCAAGTGCCAGGTGATGGCCATGGCGAGGGCTCCCGAGGGAAGGAGCCAGCCCCCGCCTCTCAGAGAGAGGGAGAGACAGAGACAGAGACAGAGACAGAGAGAGACAGAGACGGAGACGGAGGGAGGGAGACGGGGAGGGGAGGGAGGGAGGCAGAGGGGGGAGGGGGATGGAAGGAGGGAGACAGAGAGGAACAGGACCCACTTGTTAACGAGAGCGATGACCAAGGCAACGATGATGACCACGAGCAAGATGGAGGACAGGTGCACGTAGACTGCAAGACAAGCCGGCGGCCGGCGATCACTGGGGAGAGCCGTGGGCAGAGCAGGGCGCAGGGCTGGGCAGAGGGGAGCTGCTCCCACCTTTGCACCCTGCAACCGTGTCCCCACAGCGGCTCCTCCTGGCCAGACGACCCCACACTCTGGGCTCAGAGTTCTTGGAGAAGGACCCGGGGAGGGCCGCAGGGCAGGGACAGTCAGTGCACCCCTCTCCTGCCTTGCTGACCTCTCAGTACCCTTCTCCTGTCCCCAGGGAGAGAGCCTGGCCGGGCTCAAGGAGTGGGGCTCACCTCCTGCTCCCTGTCCCTTCTAAGAACTGCCACCCCAGAAAGGAGCTGATAGATGCCATGAAGGGGGTCTTGAAACAGGACTTTTTGCCATGTAGTTCTAGAGGCCTGATGTCTAGGATCGTGGTGCTGGCAGGGCTGTGGTCCCACAGTTCCAGAGACTCTGCTACTGCCCCTGCCTAGACGCCCCAAGCCCACCGCGGCGTCCTCATCCCAGAGTGGCCTCTCCTCTGCGTCCCACTGTAAGGACACCAGTTGTGTCAGAGCAGGGGCTCCTCCTACCCAGTGTGACCTCATCCTAACGACCCCCTGGTGGAGACCCTCTTTATAAATAAGGCCACATTCGCAGGTGCCAGGTGCCAAGACATCAGCACAGGTCCGGGGCAGACACAATTCATGACAGGAAGTTCATGACCCACAGTGGCGGACGGCAGGAGTCCCAGGGGAGCGGTGACCCTAGAGGACCCCTGGGCATCTGGAAATGGATGCAGACCCCTCACATGGGCACTGAAGTCAGAAGACTCAAAGGGAGAGACGCAAGGGCCTGGGCTGCACCCGAGCCCTGGGGGTGACTAGGTCAGCCAGGGTAAGGGGGTGGGGCTGGAGAGAGGAACAGGACAGGCTGTGGCCGACAGGGACACACGGGAGGCTGCGCGTGGTGACATGATGGCTCGCTGCTCCCCACCACACCCTGGGAACTCACTGAGGGACGCGGAGGCCAGGCTCAGCTGCCCAGCTACTCCAACCCGGAGATGGCGCCCTCGGAGAAGGCTGACTCCTCCAAGAGACGCTGAGGTGGCCCTGGGCTCCCACCTCTCTCCCTCTGGACGTGCACGGGGACGTGTCCCGTGGCATGAGGACGCTCAGGAGGGACACCAGACCCACCCGCAGCAAAGCCTGTCTCCCCGAGCGCAGCCCCAGCCTGCCGCATGTTCGGGGCCACAGCCTGGGTGACGCTTTGGTCCACCCAGCTGAGTGTGGGGTAAACTGGCACACGGTGACTATGAGCCAATACGGGGTGTGCCACAGGGCGTGCACAGAGAAAGGGTGCTGTAGGTGATGCTGGCCAAACAGAACCAACCCAGCGGAGGTGAAGAAACAAACGGGAGCGTGAGCCGGGCTTTGGAGGAGGACTCTCCAAGCTCTTGCGCTCTGCAAGCGTCTGCTCCTTCCTGTGGGCTAGTGCCTTAGCGCACGACAGACTCTCGGAGCTGTCTGTGTGCACACGGACTCGGCCAGCGCGGCCACCCCCACCTGTCAGCACCCGGTGGGTGGGACGCCCCCACAGGCAGCCCCGGGCTCCCCTGACTCCAGACAGTGGCCCAACACGCTTTGTCACACACCGTGCACGTGGCTTTTCTTAGAAACCATGTGTTATGTGCAATCTTCCAAAAAGAGTAGCAACTGAAGAAAAGGTTTTCTGTGAGGAATATCTTGGTAACTTCTCCCTGAATACAGTTAAACGAAAGTTTTGAAATCATCTCAGCAAGTCCCGCGAAGAAATTGAAGTAACTTAGGAGAAATGACACGTTAAATAATGTACCCTACATCGAGACCGAAGAGTGAAGGCAAGTCTTTCTCTCGGAATTCCCACTTCTTTCTGAAAGATCTAACGCTAATTCCCCAAGTTCATACTCTTAATAATACAGATTATGCCATAACACAATGTGCTCTTCAAACCAGCCGATTAAAGAAAGGTTTTGGTGAAAGGTTTTCATAACATAGAATTATGTGCACAAAGAACTCATAACACCCTGTCAGCGAACACTACAACTTACACAGCACAGAGTTCACTCACTGTCTGGAGTAGGAAAGACGTCAAAGGAATGAAAATCAGCAAGGGCACAGGGAGGCCAAGTGCAGGCCTCGCTGCCCGCCCCCGCCTGCAGACGGCCTGCCTGCTGACTAGCCGTCCGATGTTAAGAAACCTGCAGCGCCCTCGCCCACGTACTAGACTTGGGAGGGTGGGAGGAGGGCTTGGGGTCACGTCTATGCGAATAGGGTGAGCATGCTGTGGAAGCTGGGGCCCTCTCGGTTCTTGGGCGCCTGCATCCTCTTCCAGGACCCCAGGGGACACTGGCGATCGGGCTGCTGCAGGGGCACAGTCTGCGTTTCGGGGTGACAGTGAGAGGTGGTTGTGTTAATTCCAGCTCTGTGCGATACACGCCCAGTGTTCCCGGAACGCCAGCACCTGCGCCCGACAGCTGAGAGCGCGGGCAGACAGAGGGCCGTCGGGAGCTGCCCCGCGAGCCGGGCCTGCCCGGGCGGTCACTCCCGTGTCACTCCATGGCAGCTCCGCTGCACCGGATGCAAGGAGGTTGAGACCGCTGGGAGCCGAAGCGGCCGCCGCTCCCCGACTCAGCCTGGGAGCCCCGAGCCCGGCCCCTCCCTCAGTGCTTTCCCACGCTGCTTCTGCTGCGGGAGCCCCAGACAGTGACTCTCCAAGGACACCTACGTTGCAGAAGTGCCTGGAAAGGGGGTCCTCCAAGAGGCTGGGCCCCACCAGGCACATGAGGGCACCACACACCCCACACCCACTGCCCTCCAGCTGTGCTGATTTGACGGCTGGGCCACCAATGCCGCAGACCCCAAGGACGGTGAGCACAAGGGAAAGCTGATGACGGCCAGGCCACTAGCAGGGAAGGCGCGGCCTGGGGAGAGCCCATCACAGCCCTGGAACACAGCTCACAGCTGTTGGTGGGCTCTGCCAGGCCGGGGACCCAGGAAGGGGTCTCAGAGAAGACGCTGGCAATGGGGCGGTCTCTCCAAGGAATCTCCATGACTTGTGACTCCCAGCCACCTGGACTAGGGGTTCAGCAAAGCCCAGAGCCAACTTTCAGGGTGGCACTGGCCAAAATGGCAGAGAGAGCACTCACTCTACCCCTCCACCACAAGCGAGGGTGAAAAGGCACTGTTGTCAGAAATAATCTTCAGCAGTTCGAGAATTAACCAAAAGCTGGCAGGAAACTGTGGACTCCACATGGACAGCTGGGTCTCAGCAGGCCCTGGGCATCTCCTTGTCCTGTGCCTTCTCCTGTCCACCGTCCTGCTCCAGCCCATGGTCAGGCAAGCACCACAGCCTGGCCACTGGAAGCCCTACAGAGCCCCCGCCCGAGGCCCGCTGTCACGGGTACGCATCATCCGCTGTGGCCAGCATCCCCACTCCCAAGGACCCCGTGCGCAAGGCCTCCTCCCGGCCACTGCTGGACTTTGTGCCCAGTGGGCCGACCAGGGCCGGGAGAAAGGGCTGAGGCACAGCATAAAGGGTGTGCTGACACAATCCCAAGGCTCCTGGCAAGCAGGTCGTGGGGACCGGGCAGAACTGGCAGAGACAGAGAATGTGTCCCAGGTGGCAGGGATATCTTGCCCAGCTGCCAGCTGACCACAAGGCTAAAAAAGTGGAGTTCAGGGGCTAACACCACCAAAGACAGACTTGGCAGATTTCATCAGGGACAAGTCGTCAAAAAATAACTGTAGGAAAAGTCAGCAGAACAGGAAGCCCTGCGTCAGCGGGGAGCCTGACTTCAGAGCTGCCGTGTAGGTTACAATACTTATGCACCCAGGGTGCAAGAACCAAGTGAGACTAGCACAGAAAGAACCTATGGCCACGTGCATGAAAATGCAACCAACCACTGGGCCCCCGTGCTGTCCTGACAAGGGGAGGATTTCAGGGCAGCTGCTTTAACTCTCTCAAAGGACTACAGCAAAGAGCGCCTAAGGCCCGAGCTAGAGCAGGAGACCAGGATTTAAGCTCCCAACACCTCCGCTCACCACTGTACTGGACACTCCATTCACAAAACAGAGAAGAAAACTTAAGTCATCCGAGTGGAAAGGAAAAGTAAAACCATGTTTGCACTGACTTTGTAGAGAAAATCCTAAGGAGTCACCCAGAGAAACCACCGCTCAAATTCAACAAGGCTGCCAGACACAAGATCAATACACAACTCTCCGCTGTAGCTCTGTATATTACCCATGGACAGTCTGCAAATGAATGAAAACTCTTATGCTCTTAAGAATGCTAACACTGATAAAATACATAGGCATAAATTTTTTAAAAGAAGCTCAAGATAGGTACAATGAAAACTACAAAATACTATTTAAAAAATCAAAGACCTAAATAAATAGAAATACATTCCTTGTCCATAAATCAGAAAAATTTAACATTGTGTTAATGGCAAACTCTCCAAATTATCTCCAGATTCAATACCAGCCCTATCAAAATGTCAAATGTCTTTTTTTGGCAGAAATTTATAAGCTGATTCTAAAATTGATATGGACAGGCAAGGAACACATAATAGGCAAAATAATATTGAAAATGAATAATGAAATAACACTGAAGGTCTTACACTTCCTGATTTCAAATTTTAATACAAAGCTACAGTAATCAAAATAATCAAGCTGGGCATGGAGGCACATGCCAGTAATCTAAGCACTCTTGGAAGTTGAGGCTGGAGGATCACAAATTCAAGCCTAGCCTAGGCAACTTAGTGATTTAGTGCATCAAAACTTAAAAATAAGGGGCTGTGGGTTTAGCCAGTGGCAGAGCACCTGCCTGGCAGGCACGAGGTCATGAGTTCAATTCCTGGTACCAGAAAAAAAAAACAACAACAACAACAACAACAACAAAAAACCAAACCTTCAAAATAAAAAAAAGGAGGGCTGAGGACATGGCTCAATGTGAAAGCGCTGGGTTCCATTTAGAGAATCCAGTACCACAAAATAATACCCAAAACTATATAGTGCTGGCTAAAGACAGACCTGCAGACCAAGGGGACAGAATTGAGAATCCAGAACTACACTCACTTTCCAAACCAACTGATTTTCAGAAAGGGTACCAATCCAGTGGAGAAAGAAATGTCTCCAACCACAGTGCTGAGAGCTCAACATCCACCTGCAGAAGAGCAGACTTGTGGCCCTACCTCACACCATATACAAAATGAACAAAGACCTAGAGCTCTTAGAGGTCTGTACAAACACAAAACTTCGTTGTCACATCCAGCAGGAGGCCTCTGACGGGGGTTATAGGTCCCCGTAATGACCCTCCACCCCCCTTCTGGTCCTTGTCCTCGCTCCAGTGAAAATGAGGAAGTGGGGCTCTTATCAGGGAGTCAAGACTGATACAGCGCAAAGTGAAAGTTCATTTAAAAGCAGCAAATGCAGAGGAAGCAGAAGAAGCTATCTCAGCAGCAGAGTGGCACTGCAGGCAGGAACCCCGGCTCAGGCTGCCCGGGGCATGGAAGGGGTACCCAGACTGGTGGGGATGAGCTGGTTTCTGAAAGTAACTGTTTTACCAACTGGCATGGCTGGGCCATCAACATCTTGGCCTTTGTTTCTGGGAAGGAGACGAGGCCAGCGTAAGCAAAGGAGAGTGACACCCCCATAAGGACACAGTAGGGCTCATTTTCTCAAGCACATGGTACACACAAGCTTGTGTCAGCTTCGCAGTGTCAGTTGTCCAGTTTTGCCCCACGTTTTCCTTTATGCCCCTCTAATCTGCCCCTACAGTTTCTCAGCTACGACGCCAAAGCCAAAGCAACCAAAGGAGAAACAGACAAAATGGACATCATCAGAGGTTAAAGTACTGGTGCTTTCAGGGACGCCCTGGAAAAGTGAAAAGGCAAACAAGGACACGGAAGTAAGTATTTGCACCTCACAGATCCGAGGAGGGTCTCGTATACAGGAGGCCAAAGAGCTCTTGAAGCCCCATTCACGAAGAGAGCTGACCCGGTTAAAATCCAGCAAAGGGTCTCACGAGACAGCTGTACAAAGGGCACCAAGCTCATCCACGCGTGCTGTACGTGGAGATTCACTGGGGAAACAGAGGCACAGCCACCAGGGACAGAGCCGGAGAGGAGGCGGCAGGACTGGAGGCCGCACGGGGATGTGGCCACCGTGGAGAACAGTTCGGAAGTTCCCTGGAAACTGAAACACAGGCAGAGACACAAGGAAGCTGAAAGCATGCACCTGCGCAAGCACTCACAGCAGGAAGTTTTCACCACGCATCGTAGCCAGGCAGTCGTCGAGGCACAAACGCAAGGTGGCGTGTTCGGACAGCAGAGGACTGCTGCGCACGCAGGGGTCAGCACCAACTGGGCTATGACGTGGTGAACCCGAGAGCCATGCATCGGGGAGACTTTGTGTGGCTCACCGCGGGTGGAGGCTGCCAGGCTGATGAGCGGGAGGTGGAGGGAGGAGGAGGGGCCCCAGGGGTCTGCGGTTTCTTCCCAACGTGACGACAGCGTTCTCGAGTTAAGTCTGCAACAGCTACGCAACCTCATGAATCTGCAGAAGGCCACGGCATTGTATGCTCTCAGGGAAGAAATCGTGGTATGACAGCCTCATCTCAATAAAGAAGAAGCACATTGGGTTGCTCCATCTGCAAGTGGGGCTCCCCGAAGCTCTGGGGCTCCCTGGAGGGACAGTCTCCCAGGCCTCCTATGGCTGAGACCCAGGGAGAAGTGGGCACCGGAGAGAGCACTGTGACCACATTCCTCCTCTTGAGGAGCCAAACCGCATCTTCTTCCCCAAGCGCTGCCCTCACTGAGGCCGACAGATGCCCTGACTCTCCCCTCCTGCTCAAGGGGCCGGTGCGGGCAGCCCCGGAGCGAGTCACCAGCACAGGAAAAGGGATAGGGCCGTGTCTGGCCGGTGACGCAGGAGACACACCACTGGAAGAAGGGGTCCACCTGAAACAGCCAAGGCGGGGGCCAAGGGGGGCAGCTGGACAGCAAGGTGGGGACAGTGGCAGAGCCCAGCTGACCTCCTGTCCGCGGGGCGCTGCTTCCTTCTCTCTGCAGTGAGCGGGGTGGAGGCCGCAGCTCAGGCCAGCTCTGCTGCCAGAGCAGCCGTGAACAGAATGGCGGACAAGCCTTTAAGCACAGCCGTGAGGGCTGGGAGTGTAGACAGGCTCAGAGGCAGTGAGGCACAGCCAGCCTCACCAGGCACCGCTACTCGGCTGTTCCTCCGGCACTGCGGGCGACCAGAGGCAGCTGTCCCAGGATGCAGGCCTCCGCTGGGAGCCCAGTGGGCGGGCAACCGGCCCTGCACGCTCCCTGTGGCCCTGCCTGGCCTCCCCTGCCCCTCACACAGCCATGCAGGCTCACAGGCTGGGCCCAGAACCAGGAACCCTGGCCAGGGCTCCCAGCTGTCCTCTAGCTCCTTGGTGGGTGCTGCCCGGTCTCCAGGCCCAGGCTTCTGCACCTCCAGGTGACCGGATGTGGGACAGCAGTCAGGCCTCAGTGCAGCAAGCCTGGCAGCCAGAGCATGGGACCCACAGAGCCTCCTGGTCACGTCATGCCCTCGGGAGCCCAGTGGCTGCTCTTGTCCACAGGGCAGAAAGGACCCAGAGCAGTGAGAGAGGAGCACGGCACTCACTCGGCATAGCCTTCTCATAGCAGACGCTCTTGTAGAAGCAGCACCCCAGCTCCTTGCAGCGGTCCCGGGAGACGTTGTAGTCACAGATGTTGTACAGGGGGATGTCACACACTGCAAGGCAGACACGGTGCTGACATGGCAAAGCCACATTCCCACTGGGAAGCTGGCGCAGGAGGACGCAGTGGGGATTCTGGGCTGAAGGCTCGGTTCCTTTAGAGCTCCGCACCATGCACATCTCGGCTTGAAACAAGGATCTGGAATGAATTAAATTTCTGCACAAAATAAAGGGGCCCTAATCTGGTGCAGGTCCTGGGCAGCCAGGAAGAGGAAGAACCTCACAGAGCTGCACCAGGCGTGCCAGGAGCCTCACAGCACCGCCAGGACCTGGAGCGCGGGGCTGAGGCCAGGCCCAGGGAGGTCAGCTGCGGTGCAGGGCACTCACACTCAGCATTCAGCAGGTGAAGTCACCAGGTTACCACAGAATTGAAAGTTGGATCCACAGGACAGAAAGCTTGTTTGCTGTGGTACTGGTGATTGAACCCGGGGTTGTCACACGGGGCTGCATCCTGAGCCTTTTTAAAGTTTGTTTTTTGAGACAGAGTCTCACTAAGGTGCTAAGTTGCCAAGGCTGGGCTTGAATTTGGGATCCTCCCACCTCAGCCTCCCAGAATGCTGGGATTACAGGCTTAATTGGAAAGTTTAATTTTTAAATGCCAGTTCTGCCCCAGAAAGAAAGACAATGGGCAGGCAGAGCAGGGCAGGAAACAGCTGCAGCCCACCCCGGGCAAATGACCGCCTGCAGCCGCCGCGTGCAGCTCCCCAACAAGCAGAGGCCGCCTCACGAGTGGACGTGGGAACCCAGCCACACTTCACCACCTGCCAGTCTGAGGCCAGAGGGGCAGCAGCCACCCCTCCTGGACAGCACCTCCTCCAGGCCAGGCTCGGAGTCCCCAGACAAGACCACAGCCAGCCCTGGGGCCCTGCTGTGCTCCTGAGGGCTGGGGACACCCACTTCCTGCCTTGTATGATAGGCAAGTGCGGGAGGACAGCGAGCAGCTAGAGGGGCCCTGGGCCCACAGGAGATCGGGGTGACCAGGCCTTGGTCAGGCAAGCTGGAGCCCAGGGCCAGGATTAACAAGAACGGGGGGACAGTGAAGTCCAGCATGTGACAAGCGGTGGGACAGCAGGGGAGGGTGCCCACGAGGGCTCCTCACGCCTGCCAGTCTCCTCTCTCTGCCCTTGTAATGAAGCAGAGGCCCCTGCAGACCCACAGGCCCAACTCACACCGGCCCTGTCTAGCTTGGTCAACGTGGTCAGCTGGTCTGCACCCACAGGGTGACCTGAGTCTGAGTGGTCTGAGCCCTGGTCACTTTTTGGCATAAAAACTCCTAGCCTGAGAGTCCCTGTGGCCCTCCATTCGGGTCCCCTCCAACTATTGGGAGCTATTTCTCGCTTGTTAGGAAACATGCGTCTCACCTGCCTCCTCCGGCCTTGACCTCGTTCTTTGGCCCTGTGAGACACCAGTCCGGACGAAGCGGGTTCACATGGACAGAGCCTCCCTTCCCCACGAGAGCCAGCTGCAGACAAGACCTCCCATGGGGCCTCAGTTCTCACCCCCAGACCCCTCCAGGCCACGTGTGGAAATACTACAGTAAAAGACACACTGCCACGAATCCCCTCAAAATCCTCTCCCTCGTTCGAACACACTCATCCCTGCGTTCTCCCCGCTTCCTGCAGCAGCTCTGGAGTCCTCTTTCCCGAGGGTCTTCAGCTGTGCTGTCCTGGCTGTCTCAATGTCTTGAATGGATTCAGCACATTTCCCTTTCATGCTCGTTTTGACTTTGGAGAAGAAAGTGTCAGAAGTCGCACCAGCAAATAAGGTGGACGAGGACCATTGTCGTGTTTTTTATGAGCTGCCTTTCTTTTGGATGGTGCTTGGTGGCAGCAGTCACTGTATTTTTTATCAGACCTCATAAAGACACTTAGGAGAGAGGACTCCAGAGCTGCTGCAGGAAGTATCCAGACCATGGGATAAGCAAGTCGGGAAGCGGGGTGTGGGGATTCATGGCAATGCGCCTTTTATTGTAATCAATTTTTCAATGTCAACATTCACCATATATTTTGATTACAACTCATCCATTTGCACTTGATACAGAAATGCCTCTGACTCCCTAACTTCGTGGGAAACAGCTGTGTATCACTGTTTCCTACACCGTTCCTGAAACTTCAGATGTGGCTATTTTCATAGTGACACTTAGGAAGTGGAGACCCACAGTTGTCTCATGTGAAAACCCAGATGCCCCTGCCTGCTCTGCCCCACTGAGCTGGGTGACAGGGTGGACGCAGCTCCGGGCACCCTGGTTACCTGCGAACTTCTGCAGCAGGTGGGGTGGGGACTTCTTGGGTTCTGGCTCGTATCTCATGGTCGCAGTCGGCAGGGGACACGGCAGTCAGAGGCAGGACACCCAGCAGGTTGGGCAGCAGAGGGCCACGCCCAGGCCCTCCTGTAAGTCAAGATGGCACAGTGCCCCACCTGTCCCCTTAGCCACCCCGCCCCGCTCAGTGTCCTCCAAGCAGAAACTACTTCTTCGTCCTAGGAACTGGCCACCTGCTCCCGTCCACTGCTCCTTGGAACCTGAGCCAGGCAGGCCCGCTGTCAGCTGTGACATCACAGGGCCCTGTGAGGTCAAACAGAGTCACACGGACAGCATTCAGAGTGAGGGGCTGCCCCTCCTGTGCCGGCTGTGTTCAGGGCTGCGCAACTGGACAGCCGGGAAGGAGGTCTCCGTGTAGGGACGGCGTCCCTCGGGTCACCCAGCCTGGCTCGGGGTGGATAACAGACTCCACAGCCTCTCCTTGCACCTCGGTTCCGCCCCTCCTGCCTGCAGAAGGCGGGCCAGACTCCTGAGGCTCAGACCACCGCTTGGAGGAAAGTATGCGGTGACCGCGCTTGCTGGGGCAGGGAAGGTCACCACGGCCACGGGCAAGCAGTGACACTGACAAGCAAGGCTGGGGCTGCCTGGGCCGCAGGCACCAACCCTGGCTGAGAAACTGCAAGTCGGGGGCATGACCACAGGTGCGCCACTTGCCCGCCACTGCCCACCACGGCAGCCAACTGGCTGCACCTGCGCCCCTTGCTATGGTGCAGACAGCCGCTGGCCAAGCGCATGACAGCTTCTTGTGGCTGTTGCCATGGAGGCAGTGTCCCCGAATAATGGACCCTCCCCCTCATTGTCAGGCACCAGCTTTTAATTTTGTAAGCCTGCAAGATTCGGAAGGGTTGCCACTTACATTGGCCTCTCCATTATTAAATGTCAACCGCTTCTGTTTACAAATAAACTGAGTTAATCAAACGCCTCTGGGGAAGTGTGCACGGTGGCGGCAGCTGGGCCAGGCCCGGAGCGGCTTCTGGCGGTGTCCGGGGCCCCTGCCCTCAGCCCCGACTGCTGGGAAGCCGGTCCAGCCCAGCAACGCAGGGCAGCTCCTTCAGCGGGGCCTGCGCCAGGTTCCAGGGAGGCCTACGCGGAGGGAAGGCAGATGACCCAGGGTGGGCAGAGGGCGGGGCCGCACCGCCCAGCCTCAGCGCGGTTAGTGGGCTGCTCACTGCCTTCACCCTTCCATGCGCTCGTCCTGAGTGCAGACCTCCCACCCCTGCAGTGGCCGAGGTGGCCTTGGCTGGGCTCCTCCTCCGGTGACTGACCAAATGCACAGGCCATCACACAGCTTCAGCTGTGTCGCCAGGGAGAGGTGCTCCATCCCCAACACAGTTCCTCAGAGCGTGGGGCCCCTGGAAAGCGGTCACTGCAGACGTGAATCGGGGAAGGTGAGGGCCCACTGGGTGTGGCCCTCCCAGATCCGGAGTCTTTAAAAAGGGCAAGTTTGGACAGAGACACAGGGCGGCTGTGACGATGGAGGTAGAGGCGGGCAGATGCTGCTTCCCCAAGCCAGGAGAGCCAGGCAGTGTGGGGGCAGGGCAGCCCATGCTCCCCCCGGGCCTCATGGAGCTGGCCTGGCTACCCCTGACCATGGCCTTACGTGCAGGGCTAGGAGACACTCCTCCGGGCTAGGGCAGCCCCCCTTCTAGGGCTTTCAAAGCTCCAGGTGGGGCTAAAACGCCCCAAGGCTGGGCAACAGCACCACCCGCCCCCTGTGCCTGGGTAGCTCGACGCAGCGCTGCCGCTCCAGCCCAAAAGCCCGTCTGGTCCCCCTGCCACACCAGAGTGGGCCCTGGGCCTCCACCTTGTTCCTCTCAAGGTGTGCACCATCTTGGTATTCTGTATTTCCAAATAAGATGCAGACATCAGGCCAGGTGCAATGACATGCCTCTGTGCCCAAGGCTCATGAGGCTGAGGCAGGAAGATTGCAAGTTCAAGAACAGCCTGGGCACTTGATGGCTTAGCGAGACCCTGTCTCAAAAATGAAAAAAAAAACAGGCTAGGGACAGAGCTCAACAAAGACCCTGGGGTCAACCCTCAGGACTGCGAGCAAAGGAAGGGAGGAAGGAAGGGAAGAAGGAAGGAAGGGAGGAAGGAAGGAGAGAGGGCATGGAGGGAGGGAGGAAGGAAGGAAGGAAGGGAGGAAGGAAGGGAAGGAGGAAGGAAGGGAGGGAGGGAAGGAGGAAGGAAGGGAAGGAGGGAAGAAAGGAGGGAGGGAAGGAAGGGAGGGAAGAATATGGCTGGGGAGGTAGTTCACGCAAGGCCCTGGGGTCTACTCCCCAGTATCACAAAAGTTAAAAAGCAAAACTGCAGAAATTTTTCAAGAACCAAGAAAGGGATGAAGCAACAACTTAGATGGTTCTGCCGGCATGACACTGAACCTATAAAGCAGTCAGAGAAAAATCGACACCTTTACAATGTAAGTAACAGATCCATTGGAATATCCATCAACGCTGATCTCAGTTTCTCTCAATAGTATTCTACACTAAGCCCTCATCTCCCCTAGCCGGGTGTGGTGGCCCGGGTGTGGTGGCCCATGCCTGTCATCCCTGCACTCTGGGAGGCTGAGGCAGGAGGAAAGTTCTAGCAAAGCTGGAGCAACTCAGCAACTTTGTGTCAAAATAATAATAATGAAATAAGTGAAAATGATTTACAATGAAATGAGAGCTGGGGGGCTGGAGATTTAGCTCAGCGGCAAAAGCACCTGCCTGGCAAGCACAAGGTCGTGAGTTCGGTTCCCGGTACCGGAGAAAAACCAAAAAAAAAAAAAGAAGAAATGAGAGCTGGGAATATAGGTCATTATGAAGGCCCTGGTTCAACCCAGTCACCACCCCCCATCTTAAACATCTTCTGATTTATTGCTGTTCGATATTTCTTATTACTGAAGACATTTTGTTCCCCCTTGTTCTTAACGTATAAAAATCAGTGTCTACAGACCTTGTACAGAGCGCCACTGATTCTGATCAGCTGTAGATACTTTCGCATTCTCCACACGAACAATGAAAGCGACAACTTCCTCGTCTCTTTCTGGCTTCCCCTCAGCTCTGGGGATGGCATTCTGCCCCTACTGTGTGTCTGCACCTGGACAGGCTTTTGGGCAATGCTCTGGCTAAAGGAATGTCCCTTGTATTCCTAATTTACTGCCAACTTAATCCCCTCAACTAGACGCTGTATTTCACCAATTTTCAAAATCTAGTCATGTATCATCATTTTGTTTGCTGTAAATATGGTACTTTCTTTTTTTTTTAACCCTTAGGCCAGATTTTGATCCTTAACCCACTTTGGGAGCCATACACTTTGTTTTGGAGACAGGTACTCACTGTGTAGCTCAAGTTGGCCTGGGAACTCCTACCTCAGCCTCCCAGGTGCTGGGATTACTGGTGTGCGCACCACACCCAGCAGGCTACTATATACTGTTTATACATTCAGATTCAATTTGTCTTAGTCACTTTGTCACTGGAACACAATACCTGCAAATTTAAGGAGAGGTCAGCAGGCTCCATGGTAGGCAGGGAGGACAGAGGGGCCTGGTGGAGGAGCACTGCTCACAGCATGGAGCACAGGAAGGAGAAGGGAGGAGCCGGGAGATGGGACCTTCCAGGCCCAGCCTTCTCTCAATAGGCCCTGCCTCCTAATAGCTCTGAGCCCAGGATCCATACCTTTCCACCCCATGAAGCCCTCAGGGAACCCCAGCTCTGAATCACAGCACACACTGATGGCGGTTGCTTTGCACTTTTTTACGTCTTTCTTCACGGGCTTGGCTGACTCTGTCCTTGCTGTTTGGTCCAGATCATGCCGCCGCCCTAACACAGACCTGCCAAATGTAGACTCCACTTCTACCATCCAAAGAGTCTGCCTGGAACCTGAGTCGGCCTGGGTTCCCGGCCCTGTGCTTCTCAAACGGTGGGCTCAAGCTTGGAGTGCCTTTAGCGCCTAGCTTCTGAAATGAGAGCTGGGGGGCTGGGGATTTAGCTCAGCGGTCACCTGTAAATTTTCCTCACATCACCCTGTAAATGCTTAGGAACGCACCCATCTCGCCTCGTGTGACAGTCCCCCCAGTACCCCGAGTGTCTTCCCACCCGCACACGTGCAGCCGCCTCCCTCTGCCTCTGCCAGGCTCGGGTGGGCCCAGTGGTATCCTTTCCCTTCCCCAGCCTCCTCTCCTTCAAACGCTCTCTGCCTCATTTCAGAGGTAAATGAGATCTTTCCATTGTCAGAGACACGTGAGAAGTTTAAAAGCTCAAAAAACAAGCAAAAGCATCAAAAGAGGACCCATTTGTGAAATAAGAAAAATAACCGGTTTAATAATTACATCGACATAGCACACACATCAGAGGAGTCAACACCAGGCCAAGGGCTGCGACATGGATGTCTCCAGGAAGCAGGCGGCCTGGCGTGCGGGAGAGCAGACCGGGCTGACCCGGCTGCGCGGTCCAGAGGATGCTTCACAGCATCTTTAGAAAGTGCTTCACAGCTGCGGGATAGGAAATGGCTTCTGCCCATCCCTGCAGGGCGAGTGCCAAGGAGCAACCCTGGGTGCAGAGCGCCCTGCACCGCCCTTCACGGCATCACACTCCCGCCCCTCGGAGGTCGTGCGGCAAAGGGGACAGGGTACAGCGGCAGGTGTGTAAGAACTGATCACAGATGCTCGGCTCCCCAGGGAGCCCGGAAGACACGGCTCTGAGGGAAGAACGCAACGAACACATCCGCATCCGACCTTAGTGGCCACTTGCAACAGCGATGTTAAAAAAACTTGTGTTCTCGTGAAATACTTCAGCTAGTCTTAAGGCAGGTCCACAGGACATTGTGCCGGGATACAGTGGCCACGCCACCGGCCATGGAAAGGTCAAGAAGAGTTGTTCCTGAGTTAGAATCTGCTCTGGTGACAAATCACTCCAACCTCACGGTTTCCACTGCAGCATCCACGCGCCACCAAAACACTTGTGGAAACAGGGCTCATAGAAGAGAGACAGACTTGGTCTTCACTTGTCCCAGCACAAGCAGTTAAACACTAACTGCGGGAAGGTGGCAATTCTAGCGAGGCCGATGCTGGGCCTGTTTGACGCGGGACCCAGCCAGATCTGGCCCAGAATGGGCAAGGGGCCGTCAGCAGCAGTGTGTGGAGAAAAATTAAAAAACAACTCTGTCCAAGGCGCCCTGCCAGAGGTCTCCAAACGCAGACCTGCATGCAAAGGGCCCTGAGGCGGCGCTGGCCTGGGGCACAGGTGACCCACCACACAGGGCCACAGCTCTGCTACGGAAGCCAGTGCCCTGGGGAGAGGCTGATCCCACCTCCGAGCTGCCCCTCTGGAAGGGAAGGAGACCACAGCTCTGTTCTCACAGTCACATCACTCACTTCCAAAGCAGAATCAAGTCCTGGCCCACGGCTGGACCTTAGCCAATACACATTCTCCAGAGCCTCGGGCCAGGAGGCGGGCAGGACAGCCTCCTGTGGACAGGGACATGTGCAGTCCCATGTCCGGGCCGCCAGGACTTGGCTGAACCTGAGGGGCATATTGCTTTATCTCCACGCAAAGGAAGGTGAGGTCCAGTGGGGGTATGTGTGTAGCCATGCCCAGTGGCAACCGCAGGGGCACAGCCCATCCACAGGCACTGCTCCCAGCCTGCCGCGTTCTCGTTGGCTGCTTGAGCTTAATAAATAACATTTTATGTACAGGTCTAGTTCTCTCTTGGGGGAGGATGGACCGTGCGCTTTGTCAGGATCATCCAGGAGCCCACACAGAAAGTCTGCATGATCCCTGCAGGGCTGTGAGCGCACCCAGGACCCACATCCGGAAGAGACCTGGGAGCGGATACTGCAGCAGGACGGGGCTGCTGCTCTCCACGGACCCAAGTGGATGGCCCTCCGCAGGCACTGCCCTCACCTGGCTGCAGGACACAGGCCAATCCGTGCTCTCGGTGGGGATTCGCAACGCACACAAGGCCACACCACAGGCCTGCATGGCGCTCAGAGTGCTGCAGAGACTGAGGTGGTGGGCACAGGTCGGGTGCCAGCCTAGGGCACAACCGTGACTAGAGGTTAGTGGGAAGAGAATCCTATGGGAGGTTAGCCCAGACATACAACTGTGGACACACATTCAAAGTGGTATTTACGAGACGGGTGCATAGAGTATGTTTATAGATTCAACGGAGAGCTGGCCGTCACTGCACTGATTGCCACTGGGGTAACCGATGCTGGCCGAGGTCCAGCAGCTCGAGTCCTCAAGGTCTACTCCTCAGGGGTGGGTTCTTCGTGATACTCAGGCCCCAGTGTCGCCCCGCCTGGGCCTGCCCCACCGGTGGCAGCGAAGGTCATCTTCACAGATTGGTCTCATCCCAGGCAGGGTCGTTCATGTTCTTCAGTACCTTACGCACCAGCTTCTCCAGGTCTTTGCGGGCCCTCTGCTCCTCCTCAAGCGACTTCTTCATCTTTTTGTTATCCTGAAAGCGAAGCACACCACAGGCAGTCATCACCTCTGTCACCCGGAGCTACCTCTTCCTCACTGCTTGCGGCAGCTCCGTCCCCATCCCTGGGGCCAGGACCACTGCATGTGGAGGAGCAGACTGAGGTCCCCTCGTGGGACACCTGGGGAAGCGGCTGGCAGGCCAGCATCTCTCCACAGGAAAATGGACTTTCTGGGAGCGTCAGGTTAGACCCACACGCTTCAGTGCCATGTGGCCTCGCCGCTATGGGACCCAAAGGATAAACACAAGGCAGCTGACAGGAGGCAGGAAGGGCAAGCTGTGGTCAGTGGGATGGGGACAAGAGATGGAGGGACAAGGCACAAATGAATGCCACCAAATAAAGGGCGATTCTTACCTCCCAGAAGTTTGCACCAATGTGTCAAAAATCGTGGCAAAACAGATGATTGTTAAACGCATTATGAATATATAATGGATTATGTATTCAATCAGTGGTGATTTTATGTAGCACAGATACCATCACTGTTCTTAATGAAATGAAACAAAACAATTTAAAGTTAAAAAAATTATTCTCTTAAAAAAAAAAAAAAGAGATGAAGAGCGCTCCAATAGCTTAATGTGCTTATTTCCAAAAATTGTTACCTACTCGCCTTTTTTTGCTTATGGGTAATCAGCTTCATTTTTAATAGTTTAACTCCTTTCCTGAATTAAAAGAAAAGATTAAAATAAAACCAACACACCTGCCTCAGCTCTTGGACTTCGTCCCTCAGTGCGTACACAGTGTCCACAAGGCTCCTGAAGGGCAACACAGCCAGGTCAGCAGGGTGTGGCCAGCGCTCAGGACCCGTGGCAGGCTGGGCCTAAATCCTCACCCTAAGACAGCCCGCTGTGTGATGTCCTCCAGTCCCGGCCCGTTTCGGTGAGGGAGCCACACCTGCCCTGGGGAAGTCGTCCCAACCAGCCCTCCCGGCCCCCCACTTAGAGGACAGCAGCCCCAAACTCGCTTAGAGACAGCTTACTTCTCCTCGATCACGGTCTGGCCATTGCTTTTGGTCTCTTCCACTATGATTTTCTCCTCTTCTGGAAGCAGAACTTGGGGAGCGGACTCTTTGCGTGAACCTAGGATGGTCAAAAAGAAAGAAAAACCTCAGGTGAAAGCCAGGCAGTGAGAAGGGAACGGACTACACAGCATTACCTAAACACTAAACTCCAGTGACTAGGCAGTAACAAATCCATCAGGACAGACCAGGAGAGGGCATCTTTTACCAGCTTCTCCATCTGTCTATCGCTGCAGTTTTCTCTTGCCCAAAGCATTACAGAGGAAAGGAAACACCAGCTTTTTTTCAATTTATTAAACTTTAGTTTCTGATTCTGGATTACAGGTCTTTTCACATCAAGTACATCAGAGGGCTCTGCCCATACTGTCTTGGACATTCAACCAGATTTTAAGTCATTGTATCACTCCAAGAATGTTATAAGAATATACCAGGCCATGTAGAACATATGCATGGAGAGTTTAGAAGTTAAAAAATTGGCAATTAAAACAACTGAACTCTACAGCAACATCTGAAAATAAAAATATAGCACATGGTTTAGAACAAGTTAACTTTATTATCTTGTTATTTCATGAAAACTTTATCCTCTGTTCCCTAGAATACAGGCATCACTTTTCTAAAAGAAAGGAAGTAAACTGTTTGCAATAGCAGAGGAAAACTTAACACCATTTAACCACATGGAGCACAAAAGCTTGCATGGGACAAATGAGACAAGATCTACCCTTTGGAAGTCAACTGTGAAATCCAATTATTAATTTCAGAAGGGCAGGGAAAAGAATCACACCCTATGTAACGACGTGATGAAGGAAGGATTTTCCTTCTAATGCCAGGTGGAGGAGGATATAATCCACCACAAAACATGAGCACTCACAAGTGGTGCTGTGGTAAATTAAATGTTTCTGTTTGAGAATAGTACACTTGTGGTTTGAGACTAGCTGCTAACTGTGGCAGTGGCGGCTCAGTTGGGTGGTTTTGCGCCTCTAACACACCCTTTTGTGCCTAACGTCTATCAGCCTGTGCGTGTGTATATTGCATTCCCTTGTCACATGGAAACAAGATAAGAGAAACCTTTAAAGGCAGGATCGTGGAGCACAGCGGGTGACAGCAAGCACGGCCCTCTCTAAGTGGACCAGATCCCCGGTCCTGTCCCCGCCTGATGCCTGAGGAAGGATCCCTGAATGTCCTGACGTACACCCAAGCCTTCTCAGCCACAGGGGCAGCTCAAGGGCGCGTCTCTGGGCAGTGTCCCCAGGGCAGCCTCTGTTCATCTGCAAACCCCCTCCACCAGCGGGGCCCCCACAAGACAGAAGGGGGGGCGCTGGCAAAGGTCACACTGCTGTCCTCTGCTGTGGGCACAGCGTGGGCACGGAGCTCCGGTGAGCCATCAGTCACAAGTCTGTGGCACATGGGGGCGGGTCGTGAGCACATTTACACCAATGGAAGAAGGGGCTTCGTGGCACCGAGGGTGACTTTAGTCTTACCATCAGACACCTGTAAGAAGCAGGCGACATTACACCTGTCCACACAGGCTGCCCTGTCCCTGCTGTGGGAGGGAGAGGAGAACCCATAGGCCCGAGCTAGTCCAAACTGCCCACCCTGCCCGTGGTGACCTGGTCTCAGGGCCTCAGAGGGAACATGCTTTCAAAAGCATTACTAGGTTGACTACGTGCCAGAAATCTGACAGTGCAGAGATGGGCAGAAGACCCTCCTGGACGATGCTATCCTCCAGGCCTCTCCTGGGCGGGAGGGCAAAGCTGCTGGGACCAATGGGCCACAGAGGAAAACACAAAGACCAATGCAGACCAAGACCTGGTCCCAGCCAGGTGGAAGTCCTTGGGCCTCCCCGTGCTCAGATGTTATTTGTCTTCAGAAGAAAAAGTTAACTTCTGTGGGATTTGCCCCCAAAAATACAAAAGGATTCCAAAGATCAGATGCTCATAACACACAGCGAAAACAAACACCCTGCTCAGTCTCCCAGGATGAGAAGCCAGGTGGTAACAATGCCCTGCTGGGGCAGCTGGTAAGGGGACAGCCAAGTAAAACCCAGCTAGTATCAGCTGCCAATCCATCGTGCCGGACTGGCAACACTACTTCTAAAGGGTTAGCCAACGAGGCAGGTTTTCGTGTGACCACGCTTCAGGCAGATTCACTTCTATGTATTTTTCAGTTGCTTTGGTCTCTTCGAGCTACATGGACAGACTGTGCCTCACATGCACTCACATTTCCAAATGTCACAAAGAGTTGCAAAGCACAGCACTGCAGAGTGTGGCCCTGTGACCCTAGTGGCCTAGGCCTCCTGAACCACCAGGCTCCATTCGCCACTCTGCAGAGCTGTCCTGAGGACAGAGCAATGCTCCACCATGATCTCTTACCACACCAGTTCACAGCTAAGAGCTGTCAACTCCACAAAGTAACACGGTTACCTGAGGAAGCCAACACCCACAGGGGCTGGCGAGCAGCTGCCAGGCAACCCCAAGCATTTTTCTCCTCCTGGCCACACTAGTGACTGAACCCAGGGGTGTTCCACCTCTGTGTCCCAGCTGTTCTTATTTCTATTTTTTTAAATTTGAGGCAGGGTCCTGCTAAGTTGCCCAGGCTGGCCTTGAATTTGTGATCCTCCTGCTGCAGCTTCTCGTATCACTAGGATTACAGGCACAAGCCACCATGCCCTGCACAGGTCTTATTTTTGCAAATATGCTTAAAGCACAGAAGAATTCCATGACGTACAATAAAACTGAGCTTGAGAACACATGCTCCAGACAACATGTACCAAATGCTTGATTCCTGAAATACAGTCTTGCATGGACTGCCTCAGAGGTGAGCTGGCAACATGTGGATGTGGAAATCTACATCTAAGCTGATTACTGTTAGTGACCACAATTTACACCTCTGCCCAGGAATCAACACATGGTAATCATCCACCTACTATCAATGCAATGCATTTCTCTAAAATGACTGACAAGAAAAATGGCATAGTGTTTCAATAAAGTATTTCCTTAGCCAAGTTTATAAACGAACTGCCTATTCCTCTAACAACAGAGTTTTAGAGTAGACAGATTTAACAAATTATCTTACAATTCATTAAACTATTTCTAGAGGCATCACAGCACAGTTTTTCTGAGTTACGCAGGCTGGAAAAAACATTTAGACAGAACAATCAGAAAACGTTCTAACATCTGATTTATCAGTACTGGCGATTGAACCTGAGCTAAAATGCCCCAGCTGGGCTTGAACTCGGGGTCCTCCCGCCTCAGCTTCCCACAGTGCTGGGATCACAGGAGTGTGGCACCTTACTTGGCCTAGCACCTTATTTTAAAACCCAGATTCATGGGCTCAGACCCTTGAGCAGTCACAAGGGCTCTAGGACAGTCAAGATCTGTGTTTCTTAAACATCCCAGGGAGGCTGAGAGGCTCTGCTGCAGGTCATCTCAGGAAACAGCAGTGACAGGCACTTCTCGGGGTTTCCTAACGACCTTTATCCCACAAGTGTTGGGCTGGGGGTGTAGCTCAGTGGTGCCTTGCCGTAAAGATGAAACTCATCTGAGTGCCAAGTCTGTCCTCTCTGCACCGACATTAACATCGTGTGGCTTTCTGGGCAGCAGCCTGCCAAGTGCTAGAGCGGCCCCTAACTCTGCGTCTACAAATACACAAAACCACGGCTCCTCACTGCTACCGCTTCTTTATGGAGATGAAAACAGAAAGGAACAGACGAGGCAGCAGCTTCTTCAAAACACCAGCACAGTGCTTCTCCACCTGACGAGGCCAAGATCACACCTGACGGGTGTGGGAGCCCCTCACTGCCAGGACACCAGTGGCAGCCCCACTCGGCCACTGTCCAACCACTTGCGCCAAGGGACTGGAAATACCAGCAGGCCCCAGTCTCCATGGCAACATCCACTCAACGCAAGGTGTAGCCCAAACACTTGGAGCCAGGTTCACAGCAGAGCCCAAGTCAGAGCATTTGCCCCTGGAGCCCCAGACCTGCAGACTTGGGGACCTCGGCTTGAGAAACACAGATCTGACCAATCAGCCCTGTGTCACCACTGAGAGGCTATGCCCAGGCTGTCATGGAGGAGGGGTCACCCAGGCTTTGCGCCCCACTTGCACCTGCTGTCCTGGCTGCCACACACCTGCCTGGGACACGCTGAGGCCAACAAGTTCATCAGGAGGAGTCCACGTTCAAGCCCATGGCACAAGGGAGACAGTGCGTGTGCACGCAAGGGGGCCCCCGTGTGCCTGAGGCCGAGGCCCAGCCCACCGTTAAGTCGGGCCTGTGCGGCCAGCCCTCCAACCTCACGGGACCTCTGAGGGCAGCGTCACCCTCCGCTGGAATGGAGGTAGCTCCCAGCACTTGCGTCACAGGGTAGGTTTCTCCAGTCACGCCACAGGCCACAGCACTTATGGTCTAGAATTCAAACTCGCTTTTCCTCCCCAGGAGAGCATGCGCTTCTCTGGAGGGTCCTGGCTCCTGCTCATCATCCACACCTCGTCCTCAAACTGGCACCTGCTGCCAGATCCTTCTGCCCTCTCTTCACTTCCTTCCTTCAGCCTTAACTGCTGGGCATGACCTTGCAAAACAAAAGGAAGACACTGACCTTCCTCTACGGAAGGAACTTTCAGAAGTTTTGTTCTATTGATGCACAAAAACTGACAATGTTTCTTTTTGAAGACAAACCTTCCAGGGGCTGAAAAACTTGTGAGAAGAGAAAGAGGCGAGAAGGGAGCAGGGAGTGTGCCTCCATCCAGAGCACGGTGGCCTAGCAAAGCCTGCTCCCCTGCAGGTGCGCAGGAGAGCCGCCACCAGCCACCCCGGACACGAGTCTGCTGCCCTCCCCACGGGACAAATATTAAAAACCACAGGCTAGCAAATGCAAAATTTATTTCAACTGTACAGAACAGAATGTCTTTTTATAAAACAAACACTTCATTGCCATTGTGGGCACAAACAATAATATGCATACTGTACAATACAATGGACATTCAGATATACATCCAGGTGAGCTTTTATATGGTGTCACGCACTAAAATGGCTTTTCCTGTTCACAGATAAAGAGCACAATATATAGATTTTTTCAAGATCTTATTCCACTATGTACACATTACTGTGTTTTGGCCATTGGAAGCAAAACACATGATCAAAGAGCTTATGAAGTGCTTGTGGCGAGTGTGAGCTCCATGGAAACACTGTTCGGCCTCCGCAGAGGCTGCCGATGGCTTAGACCCAAGTTCCCAGGGGACTGTGTCCTCGTCCTAACACTAGCTGCCCGGGAGCCACAGTGCTGCACAGACACAGCTGCACACTGTAAGCGTGACCGAGGCTCTGTGGAGACACTGGCCCTGTGCACGCGTGTCCTCTGAATACAAGGACTGTCTTCTGGGCCTGGGACACTAATACTTCTAACCACGTCACAAAAATGGTGTTAGACGTTGAAACAAATGCAAACAAAAAGTCAGGGCATTACCTGACGGTTACCTTGCATCGACAAATTATCGTTTAAATGGCTTTGACAGGTACGAAGGGAATGATGGTAAACCGTCAGATCTGTGGTACACGGAATACTGGGGAGAGTGTCTCACTGAAGACACCAAATGACACTGGTGCTGCGGGAACCCCAGGTTCAGTGGCCACGCTCCTCTAGGGTGGCACATGCGGCACAGACAAAGGCTGCAGCTGAGACATCACAACCTGTCACCATGACAGCCCCAGCTCACAGCCACTCACTGTGGAAAGGGGCCTAGGCTGTATGATATCAAACACAATCACTTCTACCCATTGTATGATATAAGCATACAAACCCTGCAGTTCTGTTTTCCAACACTTCCCTTGCTATTTGGCTGAGTATCACACCTGGTCACTACTGGTGATACACTGGACGCTGATTTGCAAAGGCTGCCCCGGCTCCCTTACTCAGACTGACATAAACACATGAGCTGCAGGCAGTGTGAGCATTCAGCGGCCATCCAGGACAGGCAGGCGCGGACAGGAGTGGCATCTGTGCCCTCACTCTCCATGCAGATGCAGCACCCCACATGCCCAGCACACCCCTGCCTGGAGGCTGAGTGCACCCCAGGCTGGTGTGTGGGTGGGGTGGCACCGTGTTGGGGTGTGCTCTGCACACATGAGGTCGAGACATTGAGCACATGGCGTGAGAGGGGTCGGGCCACCAGGATCCAGCTGCCCTGAAGAAAGGAAACACGTTACTCCCGACTGACACTGGCACCCTGCTTTGGAAGCTGGTTTCACTGAACATGTAAAATACAACTGCAAGGTTCATTTTAACACCGGGCAGAACCGTGCTCTGCCCTTCAAGCGATGGCCAGATGTGGGCTTGCAGGTGCAACCAAATGGAACGTGTCCCATTCAGTTCCTTCTGAATGAAGCAGGGATCAGCCCCAGTGAGGCCGACGCAAACCCCTTACAACAGCCCGGCTTTCTGGCATGGGAGGCGCTGGCCAGCACAGGTGGCCGCCACCACCCTGCAGGGCTGCTGTAAGCTGAGCTGCGCTGCGGCTGGCTGCTGAAATGACAGTGCTCTCAGCTACGACAGCGCACGTGCAGATGTCAGGGGCAGCCAGGTTGGGACTGAAGCCAAGCACTCGACCCAATGCCTCTCTAAACCAAGTCTACACCCACAGAGGCGGACGCTCCGGACAGGGCTTCTGCCTTCAGCACAGGGCTCCGCACCAGGTCAGCACCACACATTGGCCACTGATGCATTGGGGGGCAGTACAGTGTGGCGATGAGGGAAGGTCTGAGCCAGGACAGTGCGCGCAAAGCCCCACAAAGGCCACGGCAGAGCAGAGCTGGCGCGAAGCTCCCCTTCTGCGTGCCTTCCTGGGCCTGGGCCCGGGCCCAAGCTCACAGCACCGCACGGTCACCGCACGGTCACCGCACAGCCACGGGCTGGGCACACAGCACCTGCGGCAGAAATTCCTCTCATCGCCTCTCCGTGACTGCGAGACCAGTTCATGTTATACTGAAAAAATACAGGTCCCTATGGACAAGGCCAGAGTTGCCTCGTGTTGCTGGCACTTAAGATCACAAACCTATGTGGTTCTGGTATAAATATAAAAGTGTCCATATAGCTGTATCCAAAAAAGAAATGAGACAGTTGCTGCACTGAGAATAAAAAACCAAACCATGTGGAGCTTTTATAAAACAACTCCCCACCGGCTGGCTGAAGCCCCGTACAGGCTCGTGAGAACCCACCACCCTCGACAGGCGGCCGTCGTGCCTCTGCCAGGTGCAGGGATATCCCAGGAACACTCTCCAAGGTCGTTAAAATATCACATAAAAGAGACAAGGAACAGCAAGAAACATCTAAGAAAAGCAGGCTGCGATACAACAAGCATTGTTAAGAAAAGCTCAGAGTGCATTAGTTCTGGTGAGAGATATATGAGCAACAGCTCTTACGAGATGCTGAACCCATTCTGTAACTATGGGCTGTCCATATACTGTCATACTCAGAGTCTTCCGAGGGGTCTGAGGGCTCCAAACGAGAAAGGCTACTGCGACGACCCAAGGAGTCTAGACTTGATTGGTCGTCGTCGGCCAAGACGTGATTATGCATCAGGTCAGTGCCTTGCCATGCTAAGACGGGGTGGAGCGACAGGTGCGACAGCGGAGGAGGGGGAGGGGACGGACAGGAGAGCCACAACCAAAACATGGAACAAAAGCAAAAGGTGATGGGAAGAGAAGGAAAAGAGAAAATATTGTTAAAAAACGGCAACAACGTTTGTTTCTCCTTATTTATGGCTGGGCTTTCATAATCAATTTATTAGCACAACCCTTAGAACAAAACCAAATTAATCATTATTTCAATAAACTCAGTCATCATGTTGTCTGTAACTGCTACTTTTTAAAGATAGCTCAACAAAGCCCTCCCCGAGAACCCTACAAATTACACCCACGTCCAAACCGTGGCTCTACAGCACTTGCAATTAGCCAATTCTGTTAACCAACAGTCTTATCTAGGACGTTATTTGCAAAAGGTACAATTTGTGCGGCTAATAAAAATTACTTTCTATTCAGTAAATGGATATATTAAATGAAAAGTAATTTCAAAGACTTCTGACTAATTTCTTCGGTTCCTTCTTTGCCAAGACCCCACACCAGCAGCCAGGTCTAAACTTACCTTGCCTGTCTACCCCATGTGGATGCTCCTGAGAGGAGACAGGACTGTGTCCCCACCTTTCACTACCTGCCCACCACACTCCCTTGCACTCTTCCTGGGCAGGGGACGCAGGGAGGGGAGTCTGCTCACTATACCACCCACCTGCACAGGCCGCTGGCCACCAGGAAGCAATGCCACTGTACTCAAAGGAGGGCAGGAGGCAGCAGGCAGGATAGCAGAAGCATCCTGGCAGCTGGCTGGCCCCAGTGGTGGCCCTGGGAGCCCGAGACCAAGCAGCCTCTCTTCCCTCCACCCCCAGCCCATCAGAAGTCAGACGAAAGATGCTTGCTCTGCAGTGCCTTCTTGGCATGCGAATGGATACCCAGGCACCACTCAGGATCCCTCTAAACCTGTGAGCAGCTGCTCTGCTGTGAACCCACTTCCTGGGCACCCAGGGCACACGTCTCCTGTTCATGCCTACACTGAGCATGTCGGGCAGAGGCCAGACCTAATCTGAGCCTCTGACCCCTGCAGGTCAACTGAAAGCAAAATCAACACATCCCCAGTGCCTTGCTCACAGGAGGGGCCCAGTGTATGGGCAGCGTGGTTGGGAAACCTCCTCGGACACGGCATGCCCTTCACAGGTGCACCACTCGCCCCAGGACAAGGAGCAACATGGGGCACAGGTGGTGCTCACAGGCCTGGTGACAGTTCATCCCCAGGAAAAGAGCTCGACCTGCATGGTGTGCGCCCACACACACCCGACAGCTGTGAGGGCACCAAGGCCTCTCCTGTAGTGCCAGGAAAGGCTATGCTGGCCTGGCACAAAGCCACTGTGCCCAGGGCAGGATGCACTGCAGAGCGGGCAACACTGGAGCAGCAAGAGGCTCCAGCCACACGCATGCTCATAGCGCAGGCGCCTCAGGAAAAGCACAAGCGCTCCTGCCTGTGCTTCTCACCTTGGCTTAGGGCAGCACAGGGCAGCACCTAGTCCAGGCGGCTTGCCACCGTGCAGGTGAGGAGAACGGAAAGGGGACAGGCCACTTAGCCCATCAGGCAAGAGGTAAGTATCAACTGGAAACTGGTTTTTATGCCAAGATAGTAGATACACTACCCAGTTCTTGAAAGAAAACTCGCCAGGCACAGCAACTGGTGACTATAACCCCAGCACTCGGGAGGCTGAGGGGAGGATCATAAAGTCAAGCTAAGCCTGAGTAATTTAGTGAGACCCTCTCTCAAAATAAAAGTTTAAAAAGGGCTGGGGAAACTGCAGTGCTAGTGTGCTTGGAATATGTGTGGTGAGGCTCGAGGTTCAATCCCTAGCACTTCACACACACAAAAAGAAACAGAGGAAAACAAAGAAACTAGAAAACTAGCACACTAGGGAAACAGAAAAAATGCCAGCCACATACCCTGTCACCTGCAGGGGAATTTTAAAAAGTCACCTTGTCCTCACTACAAATGGAGATGTTTTACTCAAGAAACTATGCAGGACTAGTAACATCCTGGACTGTGTCACACCTCTACCTTGTTCACTGAACGACTGCTGTGAACATACAATGCACAATGTGCTGATTATTGTTACTCCCCTACTGGCCTGTTTGGAAACTCTATTGATATATCTACTTTCTTTTGTTTAAAATTTTTTTAAAAACTACATATGAGATACAGGCGAATTCTGTGTACTGCAATCTACATAACAAGTGAGTCAGCGTTCTCCCCAGCACGAAAACAGCAACAGGAAGGCCCGCAGAGGCCCGACTCCAGGTCTATACCAGGTCTGTATGATGACAACGCCAGACTTCAAAGGCAAAAACACCACCCTTGAATCCCAGCACGGCCTCGCTAGGCTGAAGAGCCGAGGTGGCCAGGAGGCCACTCCATCTCCTGCCTCTCCCAGGAGCATGTCTGTCCATGCTGCCACTGATTTCCCGCACCCTCGCACCCCAAGAGCAGCACAGCAACCAGGATGCACACACACTTACTTGAGTTGAGCGTCTGCCGCGTCTTGGCGCTTGTACAATAAGCTTCAATGACTTTCAGGATCTGGGCATCCTCCTCCAGAGCAGCCGTGCCTGTCAAGAGACACATCCACGGACCTCCACGACTGTGAGACAAGTACAGCTCTCCTCCCGTAACTTTGGGTATTGGATATTTTGTCTCAGTGACAAGTGACTAAGACACAGTGACCTGGAGGCAGGCGATAGGCACTGCCCCGCGGGGCCCTGCGCCTCCTTGGAGCCCTCCCCAGTGTGAGCCAATGGACATGATGTTTCTCCCACAGCCTTCTTCTGAAATGCAGCCCTGAAGGGCCCCACAGGGATGGAGGAAAGTGCAGAGTAACCCAGAGGTACAAGACCCAGGAAGGACCCCAAGGGTGCCAGCGTCCCCACTGGACACCTTCACTACGTGAGGGTGGGCCCTGGCTGTGTGCTCAGTGCCACTTCCCAGCAGGTCCAGGGGCATGGGGAGGTCCTGCGGATTCTTCTGACTCCTCATTACATGTAGTGCCATACACCCCAAAGCTGCCCCCAAGGCGCCTGCCCTTGAAACTGTGTTCATAGGAACTGGGGGTAGGGACAGCTCTGGCTCCCTGAAGCCTGTCTGAGCTCCCCAGAGTCGGGGGCGGGGGCTTGGCCCGACTGCAGACTGATCCGTGCAGATCGGGATCCTGCCAGGCAGGCAGGGAAAAGTCACCTGAGGAAGTGCACTGATACCCAGTGGCCGAGTGGGCTGGGCAAGCAGAGGACGCCCCAGTCCACAGTGTGGCCCTGGCTCCTGCTCCAGCCACACTGCTTCGCACCCCTGCACTCACTCTTCCGCAAGGCGAACTCTTCATCCGAAGGCTTCCGCTCAGGTTTGCGCTTCGGGAGCAGCTTCTTCATGGTCTTGGGGCTCTTACTGAGATCCTGGAGACACACAAAGGACAGGACACAGCGTGGCCATCAGAGCCAGGCTCCTCTGCTCTGCATGAGAGGCCAACTGCTGAGGGCAGAGCTGGGGTTAGCAGGAGGCTCTGCCACGCAGCCGCACGCATGAGCAAGCTGGGGCATGTCTGGTGCCAGCCACCGTGTGCCTGGCCCTGAACTCGAGAACTCTGGAGTAACTGGGGTCCCCAGCGCTGCTGACACAGCTGAGAAGGAAGGGGAGAGTAGGCTCCAAGGAGCGAAGAATACAGGGAGGCAGCTGGCGCCCCAATAATCAGTGAAGAAGAGGTGAGCGCCCAGGCCAGGAGAGGTTTCCCAAGGCCAGGTACCTGCTGGACACTGACTCAAAGGTCACTCCAGTTCCGAGCACAGAGGGGAGCGTGCCCCACCTGGTGGACCAGACTGGATGCACAGGCAGAAGGGACAGAGCTGGGCCTTCACAGCTATCCCTTTACACACACATAAAGGCCCCGAGAAAGGCCACAGATCAGCTGCAGGAGAAAGGCACAGGGTACGGTGTGGGCTCCGGGGCAGAGGGGACAGACAGGAAGACCCCCAAGCTACATGTCCCTGCCCACTTTGCACAGAGGCGCCCAGTGATCAGGGTGAGCAGCGCTGTCTCCTCTGCCCTGCAGAGAGGACAGGCAGCCATGGGAGCTCTCCCAAGGAACAGGGTCCTCTAGGACCCTCCCACTTCCCGCTTCCTCGCCAGGCGATTTCACCCGCTGTGCCCGTCAGTGCCCTTTGTCTTCGGACCAGGGACACAGCGACGCAGGACGAGGAGCCCTGGTACCCTGCAGCAGCCACCAAGACGAGCACCCTGGCCTGCTTGCGTGACTCAGTCACAATCCTGGGCGAACACCAACTCAGCAAGAAGCAGTGGGTGGGGCTGGGGATTTAGCTCAGCCGCACAGGGCCTGCTTGGCAAGCGCAAGGTCGTAAGTTCAATCCCTGGTACCGGGGGAAAAAAATCCCCCCAAAAAAAGCAGTAGGGACTGACCACTCACAGAGCTCCTCCCAGGCGGGGCCAGGATGAGCCCCGGCCGTTTGTGTCACTGCATCCCGCTCACAGCATGGTCACACAAGCGCCCCCCTCACAACAGCCTCACATGGGCTCCCACACACCTGCTCCCACACCACTCCCACACACTCACCATACTCACAAGCAATCGCACATGCAAAGCACACTCATTCCCACACACACTCATACCCTCGCCCTCTGCGGTTTTCCAGTCACACTCAGAGACCGGGTTCTCACGCTGAACCCCCAGGTCAGACAGTGCAGCGGGACCCAGGGCACCATGCCCCACATGGAACTCAAGGCAGCTTGAGGTCTCGGGGGCCATCGGCGCAGCTGAGGCCTCACCTCCTTGTAGCAGAGTGCAGCTGAGGGCCGCAGAGGGGGCGCAGGCCGCAGGCAGCTGAGGCTCCAGGGCTTGGGGGTCTTCGGGGGCTCCAGGGGACCCCAGCTGATGGTGGTGTGTGGGGTGCCGTGGTGGGAGGGGTGGGGCAGCGTGTGGTAGGCGGGCATCAGCGACACGGGCTTGCTGTCCGCGTGCTTGCTGGACGGTGTGACAGGGTGCGAGGGAAGCTGCGGGCAGAGAGGAGAGAGGACATGGCCTTCGCTGGCGCGGCGTGGGCCCCACATCTCTGTTCACCCCCAGCAACAGCTCCCCACGCTGTCAGCCTCAGGCTCCCTGGCTTCTTCGGGGAAGGCAGCTCCGCACTGGGTCCCAGGCCCAGCCTCACCAGGGGCCACCCGGGCGGGGGCAGCATGGGAAAAGGCTGCCATGGAGCGTGGCACACGCCTGGGTAGAAGGTGGAGACTGGTCCCACAGTGTGCCGGTATTGGGTTCACAGAGACAGGGAGTGGCAGAGCGCTTCCTCGGCCAGCTTGGCAGTCAGGCTTGGCTCTATGCTGTTCTGGCCAGTCCCACAAAGAGGGCGAAGTTCAGCTGCAGGAGCTGCCTCGAAGCTAAGGATGTGTGCCATCCAGCCCTTAACAGAAAAGCGCAGCTCTGGGGTATAACAAGGAAACAAGGCATTCTCCCTAAGGCCCACCTTTATGACAACAGTTATTCAAAAATCTAATTTCTTGGCTGGGCGTAGTGTAATCCCAGCACTCAGGAAGCTGAAGCAGGAGGATTGTTGAAGTTCGAGACCGGCCTGAGCCACAAAGTAAGCTCAAGGCCAGCCTGAACTGCATAGCAAGGCCCTGTCTCAAAAAGACAAAAAAGAAAAAAAAAAACCTAACTTCTCACGGGTGTGACTGCTTAAACAGTGAATTCCCAGAAAACCCAGAACACCATGAGCCTGAACGTGAAATAAGAAAACAAAGCACATCAAGTAACACTCAGAGCCCACTACCACGGGGCGGGGGGTGGTACACAGGGCGGGAGGCGAGCACAGGGCTCTGGGCACGGCTGATCTGGCTGCAGTCCTCAGCCAGAGAGGTGCAAGGGCCAGCGCCACAGCAGCAACACTAGCGAGGGGGAAGGGGAAAGGCAGCAAGAGGAAGAGGAGAGGGAGAAGAAGACGGAAAAGGGGAAAAGGAAGGGGAGGAAACGGGGAGGGGGAAGAGGAAGAAAAGAGGGAGAGGAGGGGGAGGGGAAAAGGAGGAGGAAGAGGAAGAGGAAGAAGAGGAAGGGGAGAGGGGAGAAGCCACAGGCTCTCCACCACCAGCCACAGCAGTGCTGGGCACAGTCACGGCTGGAGAACCTCGCACACCACACAGTTGCACCACCAGCTACCTGTCTAGGGGGTACAATGGGCTGAAGCACCCTTCCCCTGGCACCTGATAATTCAGGTCCCCCTTGGCTCTCCCTGCTGGTGCTACATCGACAGTACGTACCATGGAGCTGCACAGGTCCCAGGCTGCGGGCACAGGAGGCGCAGCGAGCCCTGCCTCAGCCAGCCTGGGGACATGAAGGGACACTGAGGTGTAGGCCCAGGGCACGGCAACGGCTCAGTGGGAGGTGGCTGCTCATGAGGATGGGGAGGAAAGTACCCTACCCTGCACTGCCCTAGACAGGACTAGGCCTGAGCACCTGTGACCTGTGCACAAAGGCCAGGGGAGAGGAGTGAGGCAGGAATGCCCGCACAGCCCTGAGGACAGGACGCACTGTATCGACTCAGCGCCCGACTACTGCGCGTCTCCCTGAGGGACTCCAGGCAGGGCAGCCAACCTGCAGCACTGGTGCTGCTCTACTGTGAAGTGGGGGGGGGGGGTCTTAAAAAACCTACAAGCTGCTAAGCTCTTCCTAAGAAAACTAATTTTTTCTTAACACACTGAGTCAAAAATATTTTAATGCCTTCAAATTGAATCCAGTCCTTTTCATCCCTATTATCGTTTACCGTTAGATTTTTTAAAAAGAAACCCTAACTATAGCTCCAAATCAAGCATGGACAGGCGAGAACCCCCAAGTTTCCTGCTAGGGCCACTGTGAGCAGAGGCCCTCTACCCCACTGGGACCAGCTGGGCTGGGGGTGCACAGGCCCAGGACACTGCACCCCACCACCTGGGAGCCCTTACGGTGTGAGACGGCACGGAGTGGGGCTTGATGGTGGGGTTGCTCGAGGACGTGACCTTCGTCTGCTTCTGCAGGTGGTCCACCCACTCGTGCAGGTCCTGCTGGTTGTTGCAAGACACGAGGATGCGCTCAATCATGCTTCCTGCAGGAGGCAGGGAAGGAGGAGGCTGAAGCTCAGACTTGGGCCCAAGGCACTGCATGCACACACACATGCCCACACCCGGCACAGACTTGGCAACACTGAGCATCACCCGAGACACCCCCGAGACACCCCCAAGGGCCAGGCAGCCTCCCAGGACACACGGCACCCACACAGCCTGTGCCTATCACCTGATATTTCAAATGCATTTCTATGATTTTCACTGTCCTCAAGCTTTGTGATTGTCATTCCTGTTGTTGGTAGCTTCCCCTAAAAGAGACCCCCCCAACACAAAAAAGCACAATTAGTGCTTTTCCAGTAAAGTAACCGACATTAAAGTAAATACAAATGACTTTCAGAACAGCAGAGGAACCGTGTGAGCCAAGGGCGCTCTCCTGTTCACCACGGGCATGTACGCTGCAGGGCCTACCTCGGCGAGACACAGTACCAGTACGGAGGAACTTAACCAGAAAGCGGCAGAGCCCAAAATGAACAAGCCCATCTGCTGGGCTCCGCTGAACACTGACACAAAACCACTGCACACCGCGACAAGGCTAGAACACACAGCTGCTGCTTCAAGGACCACAAAGAAAGTAAGTGGGCATCCACCTCACTGTGGACACAGAGGCAAAACATGAGTGTGTGACAGTACTTCATACAAGCTAAGTTAAACGTCTCAGGACTCAGGGAGGAAGGCGCAGGTGAGCAGAAGGCCAGCGCAGACACTGCAGGCGGTGTGCACCGTCACAACCACAGTGCAGGGTCAGACGCACAGCCACAGCTGACACACAGCCTGACAGCTGGGGGCCAACAAAAGGTCATGGGTGCTCTGGGTTGAGTTGCCTCAGAACAGCTCTCCACCAAGGCACAGGAGTCTATCAGCACCCCAAAAACAGCGCTTCCAGACAGGTATGGGGGTCTGCCCCCACGGGAGACATGGCAGGATGCACCTATACCCATGGGGCAGAGGCCAGACCGGCCCAGTCCCCCTCCACTCAGAGTGGTATCTGTCCAAAATACCACAACACACAGCTAAGACACTGTCCCAAGCATAGGGAGCAGGACAGCATGCTGTCTGCTGCTGCTGCGGCCACGTGTATCAGCAAAGCACTAGACTACACGCCTCCCCAGACTGCTATGTGCGCGAGCACTTTCACAGCTCTGAGCGCCTGCACGGAAGTCAGGCTGGGAACCGCACATCTGGGTGCACCGCTTCCGGGTGACATCCACACAGCCAGGGCCCCAAGCATGGAAACGAGCGCTGGTGGCCAGGCCTCACGGAAACCAGAGACAGGGCCAGCCAGCAGAGGAGGGCACGGAGCACGCCAACACAAGAGTGAGTGCCAGCCTCCAGGGGAGTCCTGGCCAGCTCTTCCCCAAGGCTGGAGCAGGGACCCCTTCAGCACGCACTGGGCACGGGCACTGGGGTATGCGACCAGAAGCAGAAAGAGCAGGGGGACAGGCCGACTTGGCATTCACCAGGGGCCCACCAGGGGGAGCTGTGGGGTGCCTCTCCTGGGCGCAGCCTCACAGGTGAAGGTGCAGTGCTCCTGGGTGTGTTTACACCGCTTCACCACTTGGCACAGCTGTGCAGCAAGAAGCCCTCCCTGGGAGCAGGTGCAGCCTCCAGTCCAATGGAGTACAGCCTCCAATCCCAAATTCCAATCTCCAGTCCTTGCTAGGTCAACATAGAAAACATGCGGCAAAGCAGTGCCACCCAGAGGGAGAGGAGTAGCAGCTTCCGACCTAAGAGTCCCTGGAGCCCGGCTAGGCTCCAGCAGGGGACAGGCCCACACGGCTTCTGCAGTGTCACCCAGAAACCACGAAGGGACCTGCCAAGACCACCGCCTGGATGGGCGGCTGCGGCGGCAGCAGCAGCGGCAGCTGGATCCTGCCACTGTCGAGACCCAGACAGGGAGCAGAACACAGCCCCTGTATCCCAAATGGCAGCTCTCACGCTTTCTCCAGGAAAGTGGAAGTCCAAGTCTCAGGATAACTTATCACGAGACCCATGCCATGTATCTGGGGACACCACGTGGCTGGCAGCTAGGCCTGCCCACCCCACTGAGCCACAGCCCCTGGGGGCCCTTGTTCTGCAGAATGGAAAGCACAACCTCAGAGGAGGAAGGTGCTCTGCTGGAGGCAACACCGTCTTGGGGGCAGCAGAGGCCATGCCAGTCTGTCCCCACAGGTGCTCTACCCAACACTTCCCCTCCAGGCTAAGAAAGAACACCGGGCACATGCACAGTCACAGCGGCACACACCTGAACACGTGGCACGCACTCCCCGGCATGGGGTGTCTAAGGCCAAAGTGCAAACCAGCCTGAAAAGGAGTCTCCTACCGAGAGCAATGAAGGTGAATCTAAACGTGTTTTACCTGGTAAATGAAGCCGCTCATCCTGGGACTGGCCGACAGCATTAACAGGAGACTTGGGAAGAGGAGAAGGTATCGTTCATTCTTTTCCTAATATAAAACAATTTTAAACACATTTAGAAATATGACAACATTTATTTTCTATTAGGCCCTATAAAACCTTATGCAATTATTTACTGTATTTCTTCTCCAGAAGTTTCTATCAAGTTGTATCAGCTGAACTAGATGGTAACAAACAGGAGTCTGAGCTGAGTGTCAGTGTGTGAGAAAACAGGCAAACAGGCAAAGGCCATGGACTGCTACATCCTTCGAACCAAATGAGAACACACTGGTGCCTCAGTTCACAAATTTAATTCTTTCCGCACTTCTGGTTGGAAGCCAAATTGGAAAAGAACCAAATCAGACTTCCCCATAAGGTCAACATAGAGCCTAAGTACTGAATTGGGTTCAATTCTTAGCCAATTTGGATTGTGTCCAGAATCAGGGAGAGAATTAAGTTCGTGAACAGAAGCACTGCTGTAAACTAGACGACTAGAAGGTCCTGAACTCACAAATATCTGTGTAATACCTTTGAAAGCTAACACAGGAAGGAATTCGTCTCTGCCATTAGGTATTTAGTGCATCTAAAATTTCTATGGTCACATCCACAAAAGGAACAAGAGAACAAAAGAACAGGAACTCAGAACTTTAGTGGGTGAGGGAACCAGCAGAGCCTCTGCCCTCGAGGAAGGAGAGGTGGAACACTGACATAAAATAAACCCTGGTTTGTGCACATTCCTGGCACTTCCCCCAAACCCTCAATATGCTAATGAAATGCTGTTCTCCTCCATCCCATGAACTTCTGGCCTCTCTGAACGACTTCTTTTTTGTGGTACCAGAATTGAACTCCGGACCCTGCCCACTGCCAGGCAGGTGCTGTGCTGCTTAGCTATATCCCCAGCCTGATGAAGGACTTCTTAAAAAGCATTACTGTGCACTAGAAATCATTTCCTTCAATAAAGTAGTAAAACCAAACGGACCACACCTAAACAACATCAATTCCCAAGAACCTAAAAGCAGACACAGAAAGGGCAATGTCAGATGCTCCTGTTCCTGGGCTGATGCTCAAACCACTGCCGAAGTGCTGGACAGACACCAGGAAGTGGGTGGCACCTCCTCAGAACACCTCCCCAGCACCCAGCACAGAGGGCCCTGGGAGAAAGAAGGCTCTGCTTTAACAACCTGTGAGGTTCTCTCCCCTTGAAGGCTCACAGCATTGGCCAGGGACACCCTGAGCAAAGGCTTGGGAGTGGCAGGTGGGAGCACCTTTCCAGGTGTGGTCCTGAGGACTCCGGATCATGGAGTACCCACAATGCCAAGAGGGTCCATACAACAAGAACACACTTTGAGAAATGCTCCCATACATTCGCTTACAATTTAAAATCACATGACTAAGAAACACTGCTGGAAAGACACGGGTGTTTGCATAATGTGGTAAACAAGCAAAGCCATGATTCCTTACAGATTCTAAACTACCAGAGCTTCATCCATAAAGAGGGTCAAGTTTTGAAACTTTAAGGGTGGGGAGAAATACACATTGTGAGTATAAGTTCAGTTTTCCTCTTGCCGAATACTTTTTGCAAAGGTAAAATAAAACTTAGAGCCAGGTGTGGTAGAGCATGGCTATAATCCCAGCACTCGGGCGGCTGAGGCAGGAGGATCATTGCAAGTTCAGACCAGCCTGGGCTACAAAGTGAGATCAAGGCATCCTGAACTGCAGTGAGACCCTGTCTCAAAAAGACTAAAAAAAAAACAAAAACACTTAGGAAGAAATGCCTGCTCAGTAATTCAATGCACACATAACACACGAATAGCAAACCATGGACTGCTGGATTTTCACAGATTGTGAAGAGTCCAAGAATATGGTTTCATCTCTTCGTTCCCCAGAGCCATGAGAAACCTGTGACTCCTCTAAGGACCAGTTAGTTGTGTTTGTAGGGAAGGGGAAGGGTCTCATCTGGCTGTGTCTAGATGTCCCCCTAAGCCTCATGCGATCATAAGTGGAACTGATCACAAGTGGCTGGCTCTAGAGTGTGTGATGCTGGGATTCATGGTGCAATGCTAGGATTCAGGGTGTCCCACCCCAGGCGTGAGTGCTACCTGACCTAAGGGCACACAGCCTGGACAGCATGTAAGGGACAGAAAGAGGAGCACTGTTCTCACTGACTGCTTGCTGCTGTTTTGCTGCTTTCTGCCTGCCATGGACTGTTCCTCCTCTGCAATGCCCCTCTGCCAGGCCTCCCTACCTTGGAGCCAGCTAAAAACCTCGACAAATTGCGAACTACAATATGCCTTTCCTCCTGTAACTTTGGGTGTCAGGGATTTCGTCTCAGCAATGACAGAAAAGGAACTAAGACAGAGTCTAACGCCATGGGAAGAACAGGTGTCCGAGTACCTGTACACACCAGGCTCCTTCCTCCCACCCTGGGCCGTATCACAAGAGGTACGGTGGCACACACGGGCTGCATACCTCACTCCCTGCACACTGAATCATGACCTGCGACATGTAAATGACACTGCCCAGCGTCTTGATGTCGTCTCCCTCCCAGCTCCGGATGGACTCCGTCAGGATCTGCAACTCAAGCTCTTTCCTTTTCCGGACTTCTTGACACTGGACCTGCGAGACACAGAGCCCTTACTTCAAAGCCACCAAAGCTCCCGGGACCTCATGATCTGACCACAGCGCTGCTTCTTAAGGTGATCACTATTTCACACACTACTTCCCAAGACAGATAACGTACTGAACGGCTGGCTTAACCGTATGGAGTACAAGTTTGCTTACATGTCCAGCATCAAGAGATGGACAAATATTATTTTATAAAAATATCACAGATTTTGCCACTTCTAGGAAGAAAAACGTACAGCACACAAGAGAAATATTTTCATTCTGGCTTAACTAGTGTCTGCCACCAGGACAAGACGGAAAGAGGAGAAAGGGTAACCGCTTCAGGGGCTCTGAGAAAGGCACAGCAGCCAGACAACACACGTGCGGCAGAGAGAAGCCCGCACCGTGCCCGGCAGAGCAGCACGACAATCCTGAGGAAGCAGGTGAGGGAGGAGAGCCCTCACATAACGTGACTACAGCACGGAGCACACTGCCTTTCAGACTGAGGTAATCGTCCCATCTTTCTGGTGTCTCTAGCCCACTAAAATAAGATAATGCACAGCCATGAAGTTCTACTATGTGTTTATGTTTATTACATCTGAATGAACATTTTATTCAATTCCCAAGTAATTATTTTATCATCTCTCTGGCAGACGATTTTACATTCATTTGCCACAATAATGTGTGAGAAAAAACAGTATGCTTAATCACTTACCGACAGATTTTTGAAGGCAGTCATAGATTTCTGAATATCTTGTCTATCAGGATGATAATCCTTTGGAGACAGAAACACACAATTAGCTTTTGAAATCCAAGTTTCCCTTGCCAAGGTGCTCTCCTCGGGCCAGCCTGAAATGCCCCTCCCCCACCTGCCAACCCGGCACACCGTCCTGGCTCCCCTGCTTCTGTAAGGGAGGTGCGGGGATCGGGGTGCAGGGGTCAGAAACAGCACCTTCTCTGTAACCACACTGCGCAGAAGCACAGCGACCCTCCCAGCTCACAGCCGCCCCAACTCGGCCCCTGAGCGGCAGGGCTGAGAGACGGGGCCATCACAGCAGGCTTGCCTGGCCAGGCTGGGAGAGCAGCTGGCTCTCCCACTTCTGCCTGGGACTCCAGGTGACAGCAGACACACCCTTCCCTAGGTAACTCCTGCACTGTTACTACTCTGTAACACAGGCACTCATCGTTCGGAGCTATGCGTTCCTGACACCATTTGAAAAATCAGTCTGCATTTTCTGAATTCTGGAAACCTTTCGACCACAGTGGTGAAAGACAGGAAATCAGGAGGCAAATGCCTTCTCAAAGAACTAGGGTAGGAGGGAAACTTCACTTGTAATAAAATCATTTTGAAAATCCATCGATTACAACTCTGGGTAAACTGCACTGTCCCTAGCGACTACTTCTCCACCGGCACGTGCACCAGGCCCTCTGCAGGAAGTGGCACCTCCATGTGTCTCTCCAGCTCCTTGAGCAGCGTAGGGTATTTGTCCAGGCGCATGAACGGCTTGCTCAGGCCAGTGGTCAGCACAAGGATCCCAGGGCTGCTGGCGCCCTTTGTCTCCATGAACTCCCCAAGCTCCTCACTGGGCAGCAGGCAAGAGAGAGGACACAGGTGGTTAGGACAAGAGACAGACACACCATCTCTGAGCCGCCTCAAGCCACCCAGGAGAAGGACACAGGGGATAAGAGGCCGGCCAGGCACCAGCAGCACAGCGTAGAGGCCCTGTAGGAGCAGCTCCCAGCACTGGGACTGGGGACGCATCCCACCCCACAGTGTCACTAGCTCCCAGGATGCAGAGTGGAAAGCAAGGCACCTCCAGCAACTAAAGGCCGTGAAAAGCAAGTGCTCAGGATCTCCCTACAGCCCTCTCACAGTCACCTCCTGATGCTCAGAAGTGCTACTGTGACTCTGGGCTCTTTAAAAACTCTTTAACATCGCAGGGCAGGGTTCAGGCCACACAGTGAGACCTGCAAGGCCCTTGGGTCCTGCTGCTACAGAGGCCGGACAGCCCCGCCACCACCATGGGACACCTCTGCCACCTCCACATTGCCCTCTGCACAGGAGGGGTGGCGGCCACTCCCTCTCCCGCCCCCACCAGGTGCAGTGCTGGGCACCAGAAGGAAGCTCCGGTTGGGGCAATGTGTACTGCCTCAGGAAGGGTGGCAGACCAGCGGGGAAGTTGTGACACCTGGAAGGACATCGCACCCTCACTGCCCAGCCTTCCTCAGGACACCTATCTCCTGAAGCCACTCATGCCACATTCCCCCAGCGTGAGGAGAGGAATGGAATCGATCTTTATCTCACCGCAGGCACGCCTCAACTGCTATGAGGGCATCTACACAGGGCCTTTGCCCCAAGGTAAAAAACTAGGGAAAACCTGTCCAGAACACAACTGACATTTTAGGGTTTGGTGAAATGGCCTATCATCATGGTAGGGAAAGGTTAACAAAACTGAGCAAGTTAATCCCCTCCGGAGACCTCTACACTAAAAATGAAGTTACATTTTGGAAGCAAAATTAACCCCTCATACCCACAAAACAGTCTGAAGACGCCAGCAGCCAAGTGTTACCATTTCTATCTGATGTCCCCAAAGCCTCTCACTCTCACAGGCGGGGCCGGGAGGTGCCTGGGCTATGCTGTGTGATGCTCACAGTGGACTGGTCCACCAATGAGTTCATAGCTGACTGTGATGCTGGGAGGCGGAGCCTGGTAGAGAAGGTGATCGCTGGTGGGGGGCGGGGGGCCTGGGCAGGTCTGTCTCCCTCCTCCCTGGATCTCTCTCTGCTTCCTCCCACCACGCCACAGGCTGTTTCTCCTTGGTCAGCCCTCTCTGCCACGCCCTCCTGCAGTCGCAAAGACACTGACCAACATCTCAGGGCTCTGAGCAGACCTCTGGAGCGCTGACTCTGAGGGGCAACTACGGTAAAAGGGCCCACCTTCCCTGCACTCAGATACGCTGGTGAACAGACCTGTGCTCGGTGAGGACGCTCACAGCAGACGGGTGGTTGGCACAGTACACGAGGTACAGGGTCCTCATCTGCGGCATCAGGTTCAGAAAGCAGCCTCCCACTCGCTGCTGGGCCTCGGGCGACCTGGAGACACGGGCATCGAGGGAACAGCCATCAGTCACGCACAGAGACGCCGCTGCGGAACAGACCCATGGGCCTCTCCCTCACAACCGAGAGACAGCCCTGTCTGCCCTGCCACCAACCGAGCAACAGGAAGAGCCACAGAGTCCAGAGGCCAAGGTGGCCACAGGAGGGCCCACGGCCACGTTCTCTGGGAGGGGAGAAAACACGCCACACAGCCTTCCACTGCGAGGAACACTACTAATCCCTCATGAAGGAGCAGCATCAAACACCGTTATCCCGCTGCTAAGTCTTCCACCAAAGCAGCACCAAGGTTGTCACAAAAGCAGTACAAAAGTCACCCTTCACCCGAAGTAACGGACTAGAGGAGGAGGTGCCTGTGAGATGCCACTCGTTCCCAGGCCCGGCACCTAAGAGGCGCAAGCTTGTAAGCACGAGGCGGGTGGGGCGCAGGTGAGAACCCTTACTCAGGAGCGGGGAGCTCGGAGATGCTCCCCTCTCTCCAGGCCTCTTGAACTGCACCCTCTTCCTTGCACCCTACTGGTCTCAACCATGATGCCCAGGACAGGGACAGGAAGGATCACCCCCTGCTCCCGGGGAGTCGTCCCAGACAGAAAGTGGGCTGATCCCAGGGAAGCCGCAATAAAACAGAATCAGAAGTCACCCTCGCCAGCCCGTCTACAGTGTTTCGCATGCCAACTTTAATTCAAAGGCACAAAAAGATGCACTCTGTTAAGAGTGATAAAAAAGGAGAGGACAGAAAGAAATGTGGCAGTCACTATCCAGGGAGCACAGAAACAGCTGACAAAGGACAAAAGACTGCATCCATAAAGAAGTATTCTACTAAGAACTGCACAGTAACTAAAAAGCTCTGAAGCAGAATTGAAAAAGATAGCAAGAAGTTTGGGGATGAAGTTCGAAAACTCCCAGATTAATAGGAAAGGCACAGAAAATTAGAAGAACACAGTAAGCCAGCCCTTATGAAGAGGAAAGTTCCAGATATGGAAAACAAGACAGATAAGCAGTTAAGCACAGAAGTTATCACAAAGCTTGGTGTGGGAAGACTGCGAAACACAGTGTTTCTACCTAGCTGTCCCCCATGAGCCCCTGGCGACCAGCAGCAGAGGTGACCCGGGATAGTGGTGACCAGATCACTGGGCTGTCCGGCAGGGCCGCAGGGCCAGGTGGAAAGAGGGGTCACTGTGGGCCTGACCCGGAAGTGCATCTTCCTCCCCACTTCTCCCTTCACTCTCTGCTTCCCCTCTGCCTTGCCCTGAGCCACCATGCTGTTCCTTCTTTGGAGCCTGCTGACCAAGCCAACACAAAGCTCCCCTCCCTTGAGCTGTGGGTGCTGGGTACCCTGTCCCAGCAGTGAGTGTCCCAAGGATCATGTGGGGGTGGAAACAGAGCCTGGCACCCCAATCAGAACCCTAGAAACAGCTGTTCACAGCTAGGGGAGAAATACAAGCTCCTCATAAAGACCAGAGCTGTACTTAACACCAGCACCTAGACACTAGGGTGGAGACGAAGGCAGCCTGTGTGACCACATCCCCCAGAGGCCACCCCCAGCCTGGAGTGCATCCTGCTCTGCCGAATTTCCCACTGCTGTCATGGCAACCTCAGGGACAGGCTCCAAGGTAGGGGATGCGGCCCAGGGACAGGCTCCAAGGTAGGGGATTGTGGCCCGTTAACAGGCTGTCACCACGGCCTCGGGCCTCTGCCACAGGCACCAGGTGCTCCAAGCAGGAAGTGTGGCTGGAAGGTTCGCAGCCTGCCAGCCGAGACCCTGAGCCCTGACCTGATGCCCAGGCTGGGTGGGATGGGTGGGATCCACACCTCACCAGCTCCACCTCTGCAGGGTGCCTGACACAGGGTGAGCACATGCCCCATACTGTCCCTTCTCTGACACACAGCACCTGGAAAGATTCGGACTCCTCCCAAGCCCTCTCCTGACTCTGCCAGCAGGGGCACCCGCAGCCCCTCCGTCAGCTGGTCTCAAACTCACATCAACTTTCAACTGTCACCAAAACAGGAGCCAGATATCCTAAATACAGCAGTTCCAACTGTTTGTGAGAAGTAGTTCAAACAAACACCCTAAGAAATCCAGTCTCTGGAGAAGTAGATTCTTGTGACCCACAGACTCATTTTCACATCGATTTACTTACAAATCCAAGACACAGGTCAACAAATGGTTGGAGACACGAGACACCACCTCACCCTCTCCCCTGCCCAAGCCAGCACCATGTGGCCACGAAGGCTTCGTCTCCCACCTCTGCCCAAGAGCCTTGGCCTTCTGGAAACCACTTCCAGGTGACAGAGAACATTCCCTGTGCTCTGGCTCGGCCAGGCACAGCCCTCAAAGCTGTCAGTGAGAAGCCACTTGTTTATGGGACAGACAGCAAAAGCAAGGACACTAGGAGACACTGAGTCACAACTGCTGAGTTCTGAGGCCAGCTGTGGGTCTGAAGCGAGCAGAGGCAGGGAGGAAGCACGGGCGCCAGGTTCTGGTGGAGGCCAGATCACACAGGAGTAGGCACCAGGCGCAGGGGCAGTGTTGGCCCTGAGGGAGGCCATCGACCCCCAAGAGCTGCCCATTAGAAGCTCAGCAACCCCAGGGTCCTCAAGGGTGCCAGGCTGCACCTCAGCACCTGTATTGCCCAAAAGCTTGAGCTGTGCTTTCTCTCAAGCATTAGGAAAACATGAGTTGTCACCATAATACATTTTAAAGAATGAAATATGGTAGGACAATAGCAACCTTGTGAGGAAGAACAACCTCTGAGGTTGTATTTTGAACAGAATTTAACCTGCTGTTCACAATACAAGAAAATCTTCAATGTATAAATGTGTTTTATTTCAAAAATTTGTTTGGAAGACACTGTTACACTCCCAGAATTCATTTTCCTACAGAGGCAATCCTACAAGGCTATAGTTCCCCATTCTCCGGTCAGTGTAATTGGTACAGAAAAGACCCAAGTTCTTCAATGAAAACAAAAACTCTTTAAATCAACCTGATAGGAGCCCCAGTAAACCATGCATAAGAAACTCTCCATCAAAGGAAACTGCATTCCCAGCGGAGCCCTGGCTCGTGCCCCTGCCCTGCACACGGCCCTCCCTGGTCCCTGGTCCCCAGTTCCCATCCCTCCGTGGCCAGGTGGCTCTCCCTGGTGAAGTGCTGCCAGCCATAGAACCATCAACTCAAGGCGCCAGCAGGCAGAGCTCCCTGAACCACTCCATCCTTTACGCTGCACGGAGTTGAGCCCATCGTTCCAGTGAGGCTGAGCCCCTCCCTTGGCTCCGGGCTGGGTCATTTAAAGGGTTACACAGGGGCTGGGGATTTAGCTCAGCGGCAAAGCGCCTGCCTGGCAAGCACAAGGTCGTGAGTTCAGTTCCTGGTACCGGAGAAAAACCAAAAAAAAAAAAGGGTTACACACATTAACACGGGTAGACAGTACTGGCTTTGTATGCAAGAGGGCCTGGGTTTGAACCTCAGCACCAAAAAAAAACAAAAACTGTTTAGGCTAGATGTGCTAACACACACCTGCAACCCCAGCACTCTGGAAGGGTGAGCAGGAGAACAGTGAGCTCAAGCCTAACCCGGACAACTTAGTGAGATCCTGTCTCAAAGTAAAAAACAGTAATGAAAATAATAAAGTGGGTTCAATCTGTAGTACCAAAAATAAGCAAATAAATAAAATCAAAGAAGTTCAAAACACAGTGGCTTTTCATACAATGCTTACCTTACATAGGTATGTAGAAGCCAAACGAAAGCAAAGTAAAATTCCAATAATGTCACAGCATACTGTGTGTATGGGGTACTTTACACTTTACCAGCTTCTCTCAGGCTCGGGGCAACTCACAACCAAAAGGCAGTGCTGGAGGAAGCCCCCCCCCCACCAGCCCCAGCAGCAGCGGGCACAGGGGCGGCCACCAGCCACCTCGCAGACCCGGCTGTCAGGCACCTGTGTGCTCTCCATGCGGCGCCTTGAAAATCAACACCCTGTACAGTTGCCCCTTTCTTTTAAGATTTCTGGTACAAAAAATTAGTCTAACATACAGTTCTTACTCTACAAGTAGATTTATGCAAAAAATATAAAATTACCTAATTTATGTCCTTAAAATATGAATTCTAGAATTATGTTACACTCGATCCTTCCGATACCAAAGATACCAACCTGCACCTCGCGAACCTTTAGCCCCCACTTACTTGGTGCATTCTTCTAGAGACTGTACGAGCATCTGCTGGAAGGAGCAGATCTCTTCTAGGTTTCCCATTAAATGTGAAGTGCTGGCTGAACTCAACCTAGAGCCAAGAGAAACAACAGTGAAGGGTGTAAACGGTTTCCCTCGTGCTCGCCCTGCCCACGCCGCAGGCCCGCAGCCGCAGAACCTAACACACACTGCACGCCTGCGCAGGCTCACATGCCCAATCCCACTCCACCACTGCAAGCTCTGCTCGCGAAAAACAAGAGAGGACCATGTCACGCTTAACACAACTTCTCCAACTCACTTCTCACTGGTCTGCAACGGCCGCAGGTAGGTTGAAAGCACAGTCTGAAGTTCTTTAGAATATTCGTTTTCTGTTTCTAAAATATTCTGTAGCACCTGCAACAAAGGGCGGGTAAGCGTTATTTAACACCATAAGTGTGACTGGACTCCGAGGTTCATCATCTCTGGAACAGAAAGCTCCCTGCACAGTCCCATTAACTGTGCTGTGTGGCTCCACGTGAGACTCGTGTGCTCCACGCCACTATCGCTCCTGCCATTAACACGAAGCCTCCACAGTGCAGGATGGAGCTAAGCACCAGACACAGCAATGCCACAGAACACCCTCAGACAGGAAAGGCCACAACCCCTGGAAGAGCAGGAAATGCAGACCTGCCGCAGCACGCAGGAGGAAGGAGTCTCCCACGCGGGGGAGCCGCCACCCACAGGGCTCACGCTCCACCACCCGGTCTAAGTCCCAGAGAAGGCGAGACTTGTCCACAGTGGCCGACGTCAGAAAACGGCAGAGGGCGAAGGGAAGGGGGCATAATGTAAACGTGAGGGTGACGGGTTCTGTGTTTCAACTTGAGTACTGGTTACACATAAATAATCGCCAAAGCATGCTGAACAGCACCTTTAAAATCTATGCATACTAATACACAGGCTAAGGATTCCTAACCTGAAAGCTCAAAGCATTCCAAATCCCAAAATGTGTTAAGGACTGACATGATGGTCAAAGTTGGAAAAGTTTCAGATTTCAGACCATTTTAAATTTTCAGATTAGCACCACTCAACTGGTAAAGTCTATGCAAATATTCCAAAATTCAAAATCTGAAACAAGTCTGGTCCCCAGCACTCTGGATAGGGGACACTATCAAGTGAGGTTGTGAGTTCGATTCCCAGTACCCCCCAAAAGAGAAAGAAAGCGGACTAACTATAAACTAACCTTAAAATTAGAACGTTTCCCAGTATCTCATATGAGCACAGTATATTTAGCTAAAGTTAGCTAACGCCCCAAAGCTGACAACTCTAAGATAGGAAACTGCTAACCTAAAGCAAACAACTGCCACCAGCAATGGCCAACGGCAAAGGACAGGGTGCCGCTGGGACTTGGGCAGGGCTCACCCTGATTCCAGTGGATGCTCACACAACTGGCCCAGACCACACACACTTCACAGAGGCCAGCTTGACCTTCGCAAGATGTCTCCTTGCAGGGGTTAATCCGTCCCCAGTCAGACAGTGCTGAGCAGCAAGGCTGGAGACCACGACTCTCCCTCCCCAAGTGCACAGCGCCACACAGGGCAGCCGGCATGGGGCAGGGACATCGCTGCCTCGGCCCTTCCACCCCACCCTGCCCGAGCCAGAAAGCCGTCGCAGTGCATCTCCTGAGCACCTCCCCTGTGTGCTGAGAGACACTGATTTTTCTTGAAGCCCAGAGACTACTCTGAGGTAAACACATGAGAACAGTGCAGACGGTCCACATGTCAAATACGCTCTCTTCCTCCCCGTGACTTCTGACAACCGAAACAAGGAACAAACATTTAAGGAAGTCACTGTCACATGGAAATAAACTCCAGCCTCCATTCGTGCAGCCTGGCTCCTCCATCCACTCCCAGCTGTGGGCCTCCTAAAGAAGACTGTCACTCCAGGAAATGACATTAGCTGCTCATTACCCAGGGCAGGAACCAGAGGCAACAAATCCCTCCACCACGGTGCAAGCCCAGAGCACAACTCACAGACAAGGACACACCCAAGCCCCTTCCCAGGCCCCTCTGCCTCAGCCTACACATGTCCAACTCACCGCAATGATTAATGTCAACTGCTGGCCTCACACTCTATTCCAACAGGAGCAGCAACTGCTTTAAGATGCTCCCCCGAGCTAGGTACACGCCTCTTTGTGCACACGCGTACACCACGCACGCACCACACCACAGGCCCTGGCCCTGGGCTGCGTGCCCTTCCCAACTGGCAGTCAGGGGCTGTGGGCCACAGAAGGAGCTGAGAAGGTGACAGGCACCACATCCACATTGTCCACTGACAGCCAAGACCAGTGGCCACCCCACTGCACCTGTGGGACTTCAAAGCAAGGTCAGGTGCGAGCCAGAGATCCACGTCCTGCACCGACACAAAGGCCTCAGGCAAGGCAGGAGCCCTGCAGCACTTCAGCCAGGGGCAGATAGGAGGAAGTAGGCATGGTCTCTGTAGGGACTGAGGATACCGCCCCCCAGGGCCCACACCCTCCAGGGAGGGCACCCCCGTGGGCAAGACACTAGGGGAGACGTCCATCTCCACACAGTGGTGCGATGACAGGCCCTACAGACCTGCCACACTTGGCATAGCAGGCCACAGACGTGTCTCCTGCAATCACAGGACCAGGCCACCATGGCCCACACCCCACAGCTCCCCAAGCTCCTAACCACTCCTCCTGGCACCCCAGAAACCACGAAGGGCCCAGCCCCTTGCTAGGAACCCAAGGCCGACCTGATCACAAGTCCTTTCACACCACAAGGACTTGGCAGCGGGACGAGACCAGGACGAGGGCCAAGGGCACAGCAGGATGGCCCTGAGCTGCAGGCCACACCATCGCATGCTCTGAAAGAAGACTGAGACCCTGGACAAGGGTGGGGCCAAGGACCAAGCAGCGTCCCATTGATCAGACAGAAACAGTGAAAAGCAAGAACGAAGGGGAGAGGGAGCAGGGTCCACAGAGACACTCGCAAAGGAAGAAGGAAGACACTCCAGGATGAGGAGGGCAGCAGCAGAGCCCTGCAGACAGAGGCAGAGGCCAGCATAAGCACCACAACCACCCTCTAGAGGCCCGGCTGGACTGGGCGGCTCTTGCCCAGCCCCCACGGGGCGAGATGCAGACAGCGGGTGAGGGTGTTAGACAAAAAAAACGCCTCCACCTCCAACCTACTGTTTCCTGGGAGACTGGAGCATGGGAGGACAAGTTCTAAAAGGAAGCTGAACACTCAGACCCCAGAACAAGACAGGGCAGCGCAGCAGCAAGCGTCCAGGTTCAGAGCTGTGCCCTTGCTTTTATGCAGTTCTAGAGCCTGAACCCAGGATCTCTGCACTGAACTACATCCCCAGCCCTTTTTATTTTGAGACAGAGTCTCACAAGACACCTAGGGTGGGCTTGACCTCTTGATCCTCCTGCCTCAGCCACCCAGAGTGCTGGGGTGCTAAGTGTGCACCACTATGCCCAGCTTTACCATTTCTTAATTCAGGGACAGAGAATAAAACATTCATGATAAAAGGCTGCTGCAAAGAAATACTGAGTGGCTGCTACTTTACATCAAAAAATGCAAAGGTTGCCCGGTGTGGTGGCGCACGCCTGTAATCCCAGCACTCAGGAGATTGAGGAAGGAGGATCTCTGCAAGTTTGAATCCAGCCTGGGCTACACAGTGAGTCCAAGGCCAACCTGAACTACACAGCAAGACCCTGCCTAAAAATAAATGCAAAGGTTTCCTGTGTTCATGTTTATGTCTCCTGACCATCAATAAAAGCTGGGACCACAGGAAAAAATGAAGTATACATTTTCCACAGAATCTCGAAACACAGTCTACATCTAGAAAGTTTACTTTGCCATTTTCACACCAGCAGTTAAAAATTGTATCTAAATAGAGTATTATCTTCTATTCCTGAAGCATATGCAACTGGCCAAGGACAAAGGCTTAGACCCTACAGGTTCATGCCAGACACTTTTCTAAGCTCCCACACTGGTCATAGGAAGTCTCAAAATGCAGTGAACTTTAGGACACAGAGCACTTGACCACACTCTGCACGAAGTCTCAGCATCCTCCTCTGACTCTCTGCCATCTGCTGTGTACACAGCATTCCTGGGAAGACCCCACTGAAAATGGAGAACAAACTAGAAACAGTACTGTTCTGAAATCTGCCAGTCCAGTCTGAAGATAACGCAGGGCACCCAGCGCGCATACAAAGTTTACACCACACTCCACACCTCCTAAACGCTCCTCTGTTAAGATTGGTAACGCTGCAGAGAAGTAATCAGAGCACAAGGCACAATTCCACACATGCGGTATTAAACTAAGACACAGCACAGAGAACAGGGGGCAACTCTCTGAGGCCCCAAGGGGGCTCTGTGTGCTGTGAGGGATGACTCGCTTCCCTCCTCCCACCTTGGGAGCTAACTCGGCTTCCTCCACCCACAGTACTCACCACATTGTAATAGCTCTTGTTAATGGCAGCCGTGTCGAAACCTTTGGGAGGGCTCTTCAGTGCCCCTGATTTGGGGGAGACCGGCTTCTCTGGAACAGAAACAAAAGGCAGTTTACTGACAAACTGAGCAGGGACGAAGTGCACTGGTCCTCCCACAGCCAGCGGCCTGAGCTGCAGGGACCCACCTGAGGGGGCAAGGAAGGGGCTTCTGCCCTGACAGCCAAGCCCCAGGCCCAGCTCCGCTGCGGTCCCCTACCCCTGCCTGCACTGCCCAGCCCCAGCCTCGGGTTGGAGACGCCTGTGTGTGTCAGTGGAACCCTGTCTACTTACAGGCTGTGAAGCTATGCAATCTGCTTACATGGTAAACCTAGCTGTGCGGTGCTACAAATATAAAATGTGAGCTGAGGAGAATGGCAGTGAGGGCGGCAGAGCGGGAACAGCACTGCAACGTCATGGCAGAGCATTCTGGATGCAAGGGCTCCATGAGCGGGTAGGAGCTGCTCAAAGCGCAATCTCGTCACACACAGGAGACAAGGGAAAGGAAGTCACCTCCTTGCTCTAGAACCAGGAAAACCACGCTGCCCAAAGAATTTCCACACCATGTGCGACCTCAGTGTGTGGCACAGCACGTCTGCCATCTCTCTGCTCTCCACACTTCCATGAGCACAAGCTCAGAGGCAAGGGCTCCAGGCAGGAGACCCAAGCCCGGCCCCCACGCTTAGCAGCAAAAGTGGCGGGGAGCACGCACTGACAGGCCTGGGGACCCCAGCCTCACAGTGGACGCCCACACCTTCCTCAAGCCCTCGCTGTCTGCTTTTCCAATGGTGGAAAATGAAGAATAAACAATTCTGCATTGAGAGACCTCCATGGGAAACAAACTATTTCCAAACCACAAGTAATACGAAGAGGAAAACCATTTTCCTTCTCAACGCAGACCTGCTACGTGTACAGGAGAAACCACAAAATGTTTTACATTACAAGAGAAGCAATGCTGTTGTGTCTGCAAAACCTACAACTGGGGGCAAGACACAGAGGACCAAGAAGGTGACATCGCACCAGAAGGGCACAGTGTCCCCTCTACGGGGTCAGCACAGCCTGCCACCTGGGGAGGTCCTGATCATCCGCCAGCTGTGCAACAAGGCCACACCTCACAACTGAACCCAGGTAATGAGTTCATCACCTGCCAGAGCGGTAAGAAACATGGCTCCAGGCTGCTCATGCTACCGACACACAAGCAAGGCAAAAGGGAGAAGCAGACACGCCAGGGAAGCCCACGCGAGCTTTGCTCATCCCCGTGACTGAGACGCGCAGAGCCCTGGGGCCACAGAGGTCCCGCAACTTCACGCCCGCACAACCAAGCCCATCATGGGTGTCACTGCAGGGTTCATGCCCATGTGGACAGCGCCACCTGCACCCTTCGCCTGCCCTGGGATGTCCCTGTCAGCCACTGCCCAGCAGACCCCAGGGCACTCCTCTCACCCTCACCACCAGCGGGTGGTGGGCTGCAGGAGCGGCTGCCAGAAAGACTGCATCTCCCAAGGAGCGGCCTGCCGCAGCAGCCACTAGGACCCAACATCACGCAACCTTCTCAGTGCCCTAAGGAAGGTGTTTCCGGTCCATTCAACAGCTACCGAGCTAATACACAATCTCCCTGCTCCCCTGGAGTGGGAAGGGATTAGGACACAGTCAGAGCCACCCTGGGCCTGGGAAGCAGCACCACCACACTGAGCAAGGGGCCTGGCCTTGCCGGGAAGCAGAAGGCAACAGCCCCACTGGTGAGACGACCGAGATGGGTGTCCAAGACAGTGGGACCGAAGAAAGCATGGCCGCGCGGATGAGGGTACCATGAACAGCAAACACGTGTGAAAGAGAACAGGGCAAAGCCTCTAGGAATAAACACCGCGGCGCCGACAGAAGTCCCCGCGGACAGCACAACACCATAGTGAGGTGGGAACGCGAGACCCCAAACTTCCCAGTGTGAGGAACGGATTCAACTTAATCCAGCAAAACAAAGAAACCAGAGAAGTATGAGATTAAAAGCCACAGAAGAAAACTCAGACATCAAACAGGAAGGAACAAGGGGAGGAGAGGGGGCCAGCCTGGAGAGCCCACTTCCTGATGCTGGACGTTGCCGCCGCTGCCACCAGGGCTGAAGGTACAGGTTCGGGACACGGGGCACAGCAGTGCAGGCTGCTCCACACACGCAGGGCTCCTGCTTACCTGCCCTTCTCAGGAGTAACACCAACTTCTACTCTGCTGCTCTCCCCTTTCCCTGGCTGGAGGCCACCGCCTGTCCTTGGTTCTGGCAATGCACACGACCAGCTACCCTGCCGGAGAATGCTCCTGCGCTGACCTCCCAGAACCTCTCCATCTAGACGAAGGCCGCCCAGCATGCCCACCAGGGGCACTCTGGCCGGGACACCCACCACACCGCCTGGTTCTCACTCTCCTGACTGGGTTCAGGCCTCTCCTGACTAGGTTCGGCGGCATCTTGCCTGTCGTCCATCTTTAAGGAGGGGTGACGTGCAGACAGGATACACTTCCCTTCTCTGCCCAGAAATACCCCGTTACTCCTGCTTTTGCCCAGCCTGATTACAGACACCTACCTTTACACATAGACACTACCTCTACACAGACACTACCTCTACAGACACTATCACTACACAGACACTACCTCTACACAGACACCATCTCCATATACAGTACCTCTACACAAACGCTACTTCTACAGAAACACTACCTCTATATACACTACCTCTAGATGCTTGCTCTACACTATACACAGACACTACCTCTACACAGACACCTACCTTTACACACAGACACTACCACTACACAGACACTACTGCTATATAGACACTACCTCTACACAGACACTCCATCTACAGACACTAACTCCCCCCCCCCCC